CACCAAAGGACTGTTAAATGTGCTGGATGTTTCAGATTCTTCAAAAGACTCAGTTCTCCCCCACAGAGGGTTTACGTGGATGCACGCTGAATGTCCTAAGGTGCAGCAGAAGGACCGAGCATCCCTTCTACATCAACATGTTGAAGGGAAAACGTTCTTCATCACATAATGACACACATTTGCATCTCTGTTCCACTTATAAATTCCCAGAATGCTAAGTAGAAAGTAGGACTCTCCCCTTGACTCTGCTGGAGTGGATTCACAAGGATGTGCTTCGCTAAGGAAGGGTCATCGTCATTGACAAGCTCACAGCAGAGGTGTTCACTCATGTTTTCAACGTGAACAATGAAAACACAAGTGTTCCATATGGAGTAACATGTGACGCTGCATGAGCTCTTGAACAATTCTTTCCTTCTTTCCACTCAAACCTGTGTGTAATCTTTAGTAAACTGCTGCTGCTGATTATCCACAACACAATATCCCTGTGAAATGTTTGACCTTGTCTGCTGCCAAACAAGGTCAGAGTTGATATTTTAATCTGATTATACATATACGTTGTGAACACGGCAGTCTGCCGTACACACACTGTCTGTGTTCCCTGTTGGAGAACAGAGGCGGAGCGAGAGTAAACTCTAACCTCCTCCTCGTCATCATCCTCGGCTGCTCTCTTCCCCGTTGGCCCATCAAGGTCATCGTCATCCTCATCTTCCTCGTCACCTGAAACACAGAGTGCTGCTGGGTTAAACAGAGCAGATCTTCTGTTGTGTTGTGGAGAACACAGTACAGCGGTGAAGAGTTTGCACCTACAGTGACAAAGTAGCACAGAGCAGCTGTCTGGATGTTACTGTGCTGAGCTCTCTATTTAAAAAATAACAGTCACACATAACCAGCACGATTGTCACTTCTGTCTAACATCACTGTCTTATTAATGTGAGAGCAGCAAGACTGAAACACTGGACTGAAGACTGAGTCACAGTCATTATTCTGAACAGTGAAACTTATGAATGGACAAATATGACAATAAACTATTTTTATTAATTCAGCTAAAATAGAAAAATCTTTCTTTGTAATGGACCAATGTTCAAAAATCAAATCGTTTGTATGTATAAAAATAATGTATAAATGTTTCTGTAGGTTGATTTTATTGAAGAATTTTATACAGTTTGTTGTGTATTATATGTTAGTTATAGAGCTACTGAGAGTGGTGTCACAGTTATAGAACAGGAAAATATTTACATAACAACGACAGCGACTTGACCCAGGAAGAAACAAATGTCACATTATTTTTTTTAAACTTTTCTAATCAAATAAATTGTTGTTTTGCTTTATTTTGTTTTAGGTGTTTTTGTGCCTATTTTAAAACATCAGTCACCCACCTATGGGTCATTTGCTACAGTTACAGGAGTTTTAAAAACCATAATATGTGATGTTTAATAACTGTAGTTGCTGCATGATTCTCGGTATCTGATATATGTGTGAAATAACTGTTGTTCTGATTCCAATGGTGGACAATTAAAACACGTGACTCATTTTAATAGGTTATCAATGAATGAGTCAATTGAACATTTGTTACCTCTGGTCAATTTGAGAAACAGCATAAGGTCGTTTTTAAAGATGTCGACATTACATTAATGAAGAACGTTTTCATTATTAATTATATCTTATGATTAATTCATTACCTCTCGTACCTCTTACTGCCTAATTACAATTAGATTAAAAAAATTAAATACGATCCAACCTCTTTGTCCACAGATATTGGGTTTCAAGCTCAAGGACACTGTGCTGTTGCACAGAATGGCCACCAGATGGTACCCTCGCCTCGTTGGTAAACTAAACAGGGCTTTTCGTAAATGACCTGACATTACTGCTTTTTTGAATGTGCTCTTGTGTCATTAGCAGTAACAGCAGTTATTCACGTGTCGCGGTTACACAAAACATCGTGTGATTATTTACTTTCTTCTTTCATGGTGATCATTTTTTTGTCCCGAAGAGACTTTACCTCAAAAGTGACAGCATGTAGCTGAATCTTAAATCACTGCACAACTTCACAGCTGCCTGAACACTAGCCTTTTAATCAATTACTGTTAATGTGAATGAAGTCCTTCTGGAACGGTTCACATACAGGAGACCACGTCCCATGCCTTCTGCCCTGAATCTGCTGACCACTGGGCAGCAGACTGTGCTGACCAGATGATTCCTGTCCACAGACCGTCATGCTGTCAGTGTATTATTCAAATTGTTGTCATAAATATGAATATGTTTCCACAGAGAGTTGGTGGGGGGGTGGGCACTGGTTCACCTGGCATACCACACAAAAACCAACCCTTTGAAAAACTTCACCACAGAGTCTGCTGTCCACCAGCTGTTACTGCTGCTGCTGCTGTGACCTTTACTGTGGCTGTTTGCTCAGCACGGTGTGGGGACACCTACCCTCACCATCCTCGTCGTCCTCCTCTTCTCCCACGTCCTCGTCTCCCTCGTTTTCCTGCTCGCCGTTCTCCTCGTCCTAACAAGGTGAGACACACTCAGGGTTAGATGTCTGTGAGAGGAGCTTTAATGATCTGCAGCCACTGGAGCAGAGGAGGAGAGTGGCTCACAGTTTTGCCGTTGGCGGCAGTGTCTCCGTCTCCGTTCTCAGCCTCTTCGGTCTGTTTCTTCTCCTTCAGCTCCTGAGAACAAACACATAATTCATTAATAATAAACTGTATCATCAGAAAAAAAAATGTTTCTCTGCAGTATCCAGCAATGGAAATGCAAGAAAGGTTTAAAAAACTTCTTTTCTTTAAAAAATAATCACTGTTCAAAAGAAGGAATATTGAAAGGAATAGAAAGGAATGCTGCACAGAAAGGAACAGGGAACTACCCAACATTTCTCTGTATTTTTGCCCAAAAAAAGTCAACATGCAAGACATGGAGAAACTGACCCACTATGAAAAAGGGCACACCAGGGTTTAAGCCACTGCAAGGTTCATTTATGTCAACAGTTCCAGGACTTCAGACCTTCAGGCCAATGGAAACACGGGGTTCCACTGGAATGTGTTCCTGGTTCTTAGTTCCTTTAAGGTTTAAGTGTAGTTTATTTCTATTGTAATTTTCTACTGTGACACTTGATTTAATTGCATTTTGTAAATATATTCTGTGAGCATGTGTGAATTCTGGGATAATGTTAAACTATCTCTTCTGGATAATTGACAAACAGGTGGTGTTTTTCGCAGACAATCTCAAAACTTGTGTAAATGTTCATGTATTTGTTAAATCCCTTTTCATATCAATAATAGCTAAATTAAACATAAGGCATAGGGAATATGATGAAACTATTAATCACTCTATATATAGAATTTTAAGGATTAGGATTAAGTAAATCATCAACAGCAAAACATAATTCACAGATCTGATGTGTACACATATTGCGGCCATTGCATAAATTTTAGATTACAGTTTGAAAACGATTAACTGAACGAGTTCCAGCAGGAAAACAGGAACTAGGCTCCAGTTTTGTCCAAGCTCTGGTCTCCGGAGTTGGTCTCAGTGATTAATGTCAGACATGCACAAAAAGTGCTCTGCTGAAAAAGGAGGGAAACTCTGAGGTGTTTTCCCTCCTCCCTCCTTCACTTCCCTCCCTCCATGCTCCTCCGCCTCCTCCTCCACACCTACGCCAAAATCTCCTCTAGATTCCTTTTAAAGTCTAGCGTAGTAAAAGCAGCGAAAAGCTCTTCTCCTATTGGCCAATTCTCAACCATAGCTCCCGCCCATCTCTTTAGAAACCTGACACCGTCTGTCACTGCCGCCCTGTAGTCAGAGTGGAGCCTGGCAGAGAAACCACAGACAGGAGGACTACAACTCCCAGCAGCCCACAAGCTGATTATTCTACTTTCTGCTAATCAGGTCAGCTGCCAGAGCAGGTTAATGTTTCTCCTATCTGACAAAGTTCCTCAAACAACCCGTCTACCAGAGTGCCAGCCATTCAGTGTGTCAGCAGGGCAAATATGCACCAATATTTCCACACTCTTTACTATGCCATGTTCACACATCGGTGTGCGTCCACGAGTCACGTTTGCTACACCTACAGTAGCAGAAATGCTGACTTCCTCTATCGCAGAAGAATCCACTCACCATCAGCCGACCTGTTCACACACGCCTGTCTGTTCACAGCGGGACACACATTCCAGCGTTAACTATTTGTGCGACTAGTGAAAGTTTCATTAATCTGTCGATTAAACACGAGGAATAAATGAAATATATTGGTTAGGTTTTTTTTTTACAAGTGAAAGTGAAAGACAAAGGTTGATGATTTTTTTCAAATCCTGTCTCACATTGCTGTTATGGCTGCAAAACCCATGATCGATTTTGCACAGAGGGGGGCGATGTTTCTGTTTCTGAAGTAACATCTAACCACACTTCAATGAAAACTTCAGAAAACCACGTTTGCCCAGCTCAAACAGTAGTGAACTTTTTTTTCTCCAAGTTGTACAAAGACACTTTACATAATGCAATGAATAAGATACATTACCCTGTATGTATACTTTTATTCAGAGGATTTTTGTCTCTCTCTCTTTTTTTTGCATATAATTCACAAGTTGGTTGGCACAACATTGGTTCTCGGAAGACACAGGAAATGAATCAAGCAGGAAAAGCTTCAATTCTTTATATACATAAATATATAACCCGTCATTTATGCCTGTTGCTAATAACTGACATGTAAAACAACATTTTCGGCTTTTTTATATAATCACATTTTACTTAAGTTAATAAGGTCTATAATTAAGTAGTATAACCTAAAATTTCGTTTTGTGGAAAAAAGTCAACTTAAATTCTACTTTGGTGGCTCTTACATGCTTGTTTTCTGCAATTCTTTTGATAAAATCCCCACCTAACCGCCATAAACCATAGATAAACTGTTTCCTAACTGTAAAAAAAAAAACCAAATGTGAGGACACCCAAAATTAGAAGCCCCGCCCCAATTTGAGACGTCTTTTTCCGGACGTGCTAGTATGGTTATTATATCTTATAACAGGAGCTGGACTGGTGAGCATGTAAATGTATCAGACACCTTCTACTCCTGCTCCTCTTCCGGTGCACACGCAGCTTAAGCGCAAAGGCTGCTTCAAGTAACACACACGCACGCGCGCACACGAAAACTATCAGTCTGTACTTGCCTTCACTTTGTTCTTTCCCGCCTTCCGCCCGCTTGTATTTAAATACCTCGAACATTTTGTTTTACACCGGACAAAACACAACAGCGGAAATGAAGAACAATACACCTCGGCCGATAAGAACGCGCTGAAAATACTTTCGCAATCCCTAAATTAACCCTCATTAATGAGGACAGTAATGAGGACGGAGAGTGGGCGGTGCTAACGAGAAAGAAGCGAAGAGAAGGGAGCGAAAGAGAGAGAGAGAGAGACTGCAATGACAACTAAAGGCCACTCACTCATCAACGCCGAGAGCCTTCGTGCCCGCGCTTGCCGCTCACGAACACGCACGAATGCAGCCGAGCTCATCTTCGGCAGCGTTCGGGAGGAGCTCGCGATGAATAAACTAAGATTATTGTTCAGTCACGTCACCGAATGAGTTACAACCCGGTGAAGCTAAGCTGGATGAAATGCTGGAGTTATTTTACGAAGCCCGCGTCCTAATTACTACAGTTTAACGCATCGAAGTCTCAAAAAATTTAAATATTTTGTCGTGAAATCAAGATTTGGCGTAAACACTCACGTCCACGAACAACGCGTACAGACACGACCTTTAAATTTAAACACGGACACGCTGTCCATTGTTAAATAAAAAACTGAACCATAGTTTAAGCGACGAACAGCGGGAGTGGGCGGCGGGGTTTTAACGATCAAAGTGCGTGAAATGGCTGACTTTTCCCGTTCAGTCAGGTGCTGGTGATGAGTTCACACACAGAGACACGGAGGAGGTGACAGATGCTCCGATTCAGTGAGGAGCCACCAGTCTCCTCCGTCCTCTGCCTCCTCCTCCTCCTCCTTCTCCTCATCCTCACTCACAGCTGCTTCACCTACACGTTTCAATGGACGCGCTTCAACAACAGCTTCACCTCTAAAACACTCAGCATCCATCTATCCATCCATCAGCTGTTCAGTGTTCGACTCTGCCTCACGCTGATACACGCACAAAGCCAATCTTAAAATAGTCAAATTAGTAACACGGTTATAAATGGAGGACGGCACTTTATTGTGTCCTTATCTCTTCTCCTCTCGTCCTTACCTTGGCGCTCAGTTCTCCGCTGCTCTCGACTTTGCTGTCCGCCATGTTACTGATGTAAAAAATTAAAACTTAGTGTCCTGTCAGAGTAGAAACAGAAGAGACGTGGAAAAGAAATGCAACAGAAAAGAATGGGGAAGAGACGGAACAGAGTCCTCTGAAGTGGAACAGCTTAAAACGAATGTCGTCCACAGCAGCCAGCGGCGGCTCTGGGAGACCGGAGCTGCTCATTTTATACTGCGGTGGGAGGCGAAAGGTGTCTGGTCGCTGCCGCTGATTGGTCCTCTGTGTCGGAAAATATTCCGCCTGTGATTGGTCAGAGGGAAACAATAGCTCGCTCTCTCTCTCTCTTTCTCTCGCTCTCTCTCTCTCCGTTTACTCTCTCTCTCTTGCTCTCCCTCTCTCTCTTTCTCTCACTTTTTGCTTTCTCTCTTTTGCTGAAGCCGTGTGTGTGTGTAGTTCGATATAACTAATGCTGTAGGGACCTAAATCTGATTACACAGTCACTTCTAAAGGGAGGATCTTCCCTCTGATAAATCATAGACGATACACAGGAAATGGAAATAGCTCTCATAGCCCACTGGACCATAGGTCCCAAAGATTTCTAATGGTTTTGGAAGACACTACTAATGAATGTAAGGCGTTGGCACACGATAATAATTTTGTAAAAATTATGATCTCATTCAGCAGTTGTAAAGTGTAGTTAGGCGCTGAAACCTAAAGTAAGAATGTCAGCTGTAGACATGAGCTATAGGTGCCTTGGAATCGTCCTTTGGTGTATATGGGCTTTTGGTCTACCTTTACCCAATGTCATTAAAGACTGGTTCCAGCTTCTTGTTCAGCCGTACCTAAGAGGTAACATTTAGAGTGATGAGTATGACAGGAGACTGAGACTATATATAACTAACAAATGCACTGCTTTATAACATCATGACAACTACAGTGAGGACAACTGTATCTGTCACAATCAGGTTTGTGCAGGATTGGCACGTTGCATTTTATTGGCTATATTTTCTCTTTATTGCAATGAAATGTAAGACGTCAACATAGACAACATAATAATAACTCTAAGCAGAATGTTGAGTGACTTACAAATATATGGAGTTCCTTCAGAAACCATTGGTTTTGGTTTGTTTTGTTTTTGCGAGGAGCCACGTGGTACAAAATATCTTACCCAATGTCTAACCTGCGACCTTCTGGATGAACACAAATCTTCTCCACCTTCTGACCCACTGTTAAAGTGATTCAATTTAAGGCTTTAGGATACAACTGTGGCCTGATAAAGATCAATACGGTTAATGTTTATCCGAAGATAAAATATTACAAATAAATTTGAATTGAAAAAGTTAATGTTAGGTTAGTTTAAGGTTAAGGTATATGTCAAGTTCCAAGAGATGGCTATAAATCAATGTCACATTATGAAAACTGGTTACACAGTATTTTTTTTTAAATTCAGTTTTATCCTGCAGAACAATCGTGAATAAAAATAAAATATCTGTCAACTAATTTGAAGTTAATTGGTAACTTGAGGAGATCTTAAAATTGGTTTTATGTTATCCTAACCTTGTGTGACGTTTCAGTTAGGGTAAGGCTTTCCTTAACAACACAGTGTAGTTGGTGACATAACAAGGGTAGGGTTAAGTTTGAGGGTAGGTTATGAGGGTTGGTCATGTTTAGGTTATGGTAAGTACGTTACTGTGTAGTTTGATTATGTTTAAAGTCGAAATTTTGTTAAGATTAATAACCCCCGCCCTCCACACACACCAAACATAAATCCCAAATATTTTATGGGTGTACTTTATCATGAATTGTTTTTGTGTCATACCAGTTTTGAATCTCAGTTTTTCTCCTCTTATCCACACACACTCACCCTCACACTCTGTGTTTCTGCCACATGTATGCAGCTGGTGTATGTAACTTCTAATCCGTTAATAAGTCCAGCACGTTTTATCTCAGTCATGCTCACTACTGGCTAATTAGTCATGCAGAATGACTAATTTTGTACATTACTGAAGCATTAGTTTAGTGCTAAAACTGGTGCTGTAATTCTACTGATTGCCAAATTCAAGTAATGCATTTATATTCTGAATTAATTATTTGTTTCAATCAGTGTTATCTCATCGGGGGACTGGAGAAGAGAAAGTGTAACTGGATTAAGGATGAAAAAGCCATAATATGTTGATACTTTAAAAAGGGAAAGAATAATAAAATCATTGATGTTAGCTTTCAGCTCGAGAATACATGCCATATACGTTTGTATGATTTTAGCCAGATTGTGAGTGTAGCTACACATGATTGAATTAAATTTAAAACTTAAAAGCCAACCACAATTTCTTTGTGTTTTAATGGTAATTCATATTTTGAAGTAGTGTTACTGCCACCTACTGGGTCTATTTTTCACTGCTGATCCTTTCAATAAAAAAAAAAACCTGACAATAGTAAAGAACAGAAAAACAGAGACAGAGGGCAGCAGTGCTGCACACAATCAAATCTGATTTTAAGTTACTGGTGGAGGCTGGTGCCTGGTCCAATTAAACAAAGTGATTACCCACATGATTATTATTACCAGAAACCTATGAACAGTGCGTTCACTGATGCCAAAAGATGTCAAAATCTGTGAACAGAAAAAATAAATAAAAGCACAAGTAATTATACTTGCAATTCTGTTTTCCAGTAATGTAAACACACAAACTGAAGAGCAGTTCTGTAACTACAATTATATTATTACCATAATTGCGACCACTGCTACAAGTACAACTAGCCACACTGCCACACTTGTTGCTGATACTTTATATTTAAGGGTAATAATTACACGATGGCTACCTTTTTCGCAGAACATTTATTGAATTAGTTTTTTGCCATAATGATATAGTATAGTTTAATCATTTCAGCAGTTTTTGTGTATTGACCTGGATGTTACCGGTTTGTATCTGCACTCTCGTTTATCTATTAAGTATGTTAAGTAAAATTGGTACTAGTTAGAGTGCTGTGGATAAAGATGTATAGATAATGGTTTTACTCAGAGAAAAGGAGACAGAGTGACACAGAAACAGGGAGAAAATGGGAACACGGATAGGGAGGATGGGAGGGAGGGAGGGAGAGGCAGTTGGGGGGGGGGCAGAGAGAGTGCGGGGTGAGAAGGAGAGGGAGAGAAAAGGGGGAGGAGGTGGGTGTGTGTATGTGTGCATGTGTGACGTCTATTTAAATCATGTTAATGTTACGCCGAGGCTGCATAATGGTTTCCATACAAAACTTGAAACAGAAATAAAACGGCAATTTTGAATTTGATTCCGGCGAAAAGTAACCTTCCTGCGACAGGGGGAAGAAGACATGTTCAGTAACCAACATTTCCTGTACGGTTGAAGCGCGAACATTGATGTTTTTAAGTTTTTTGTTAGTCCCTCACAAAGATGGCGACTTGAAGGGTCCGTATGGCGTCGTGGTGTTGAACAATGCTGCTGATTGGCTGGGGTACTGGAGCGAACACAAAGCTGACGCTTTGCGACTGGTGAATGGCTGAATGAGCCGTCAATCATTTAGAGTAACCGCATAATGTAGGCGGGGCTTTACGTTGAAGGTAAAAGAGAGAAAGGACTAAAAGCAGAACGGAATGGAGGGCGGTTTCAAATTTCAACGCAGCACACGTACAATTCTAGCAAATTACTTTCTTAAAATAAAATAAAATAATTTGTGCAAATGCATATTTTTTACATTTCGTTTTTGACATAATGAAAGCAATAATTTGTGCATATATATATATTTTACATAGTTTTTCACATCGTGAAAGCCATTGCTACGATAATAGATTTATTTTTTTTTATTATATTGAAAAAGAAAAACATAATTTTGGAGAACCCTGTTTCTTATCCACAGAGGTTAATTCAAATTCAAACTGTTTTGTAGAAGGGAACGGAAGGTCATAAGATTCGTTACGCGTAGTCCCAACTTTTGGACAGCAGGCGGCAGTATTAGCCTGGTAGTGAACGTGCACACTGAAGCGGTCTTTACTTGATCTCTCCTTAAATTCCAGTGTTTATTTGTTTTTATACAAAATGTATTGTCGTAACGTTTTAGTGCCACAGATATGGAACTTTTTCTGCATCGACAAAGTAAAACAATATATATTTACACAATACAGGAAGTGAAAGGAGACCAATAGTTTCACAACTTTCCAAAGAGAATGCATCTTAACATACACATATATTTATCATTGTCATTTTGCCTAAGCTGTTGCAGAGAAAGAACTATAATCCTGAAGGTATGTTCCTGACGAAGCAAATGATAAATATAAAACTGCACCGGCAGCTTAAGTGTTGGAGCTTAGCAGTTGGACATTCTTCAAAATGTAAATGGTACAAAAATACATCTTCAATGTGCTTATATGTATACATTACCTAACAACAGTCCCAAGCACTGTTCCACTGTGCCAGGGGTCACAGGGTTTGGTTTTTACAAAGGTCACGTTTCCATTGTAACATACTATACACCAGGTACCTTTACAGGTACAGAAACACACTCTCTGTGTCCATATAAAGAGAACACACACACACACATTGACATATACATTCATATACACGCTGGTTTCTATTATATATGTGAACTAAACTTCTAACCATGTCACTTGAAGTAGAGGGGAAATACATACATATATGTAACATATATTTTTTAATGTACATGTATAAACCGTTTCAATATTCATATCAATTTGTTGAGATGAAAATAATTGTTCCCTTGGGAAACAGAAAAGTGAACTCAGCTTTGTCCCGACAACATGCTAATTAACAGTAGACACACACACACTGGTCTTGTTGGCCTTGTCTTGTTGACCCCCACACCCACATCCAGGGTCACTGTAGCTGATCTCTGCTCACTCACTCATATGAAATAATTGGACAGGACACCCAGAAGCTGGCTTTGCTGTGAATCATGGTTGGTACTGGTACCTGTTACTGTCTGGTACCTTTGACCATGTGTTGTAGTTTGCAGAGAGCTGGAATCATAAACCAATTAAAACCTTGACACTTGTTCTTTCATTTTCTACCCATTAGTGTTTGGATCACATGGGGTAATGGAGCCAATTCCATCAGTCTACAGGAGGGCCTGGATCAGTCAGCAGTCAATGGCAGGGTCAACTGTAGAGACAAACAATCATTCACACTCATATTCACACCTACAGTCACATTAGAGTGAATAATTAATCTAACCCTCCCTGTTTTAAGACTGTGGGAGGAAACAGAATATAAAATAAAAATAAAGTCCATCCGTTACCACTAGGATTAAACCAGTGATGTTTTTGCTTTAAGGAAGGAACACTGACTACTCTTCCACTACATCTACCCCTACAGCACGGTTAGGTGGCTTGTGGCCAGTAACCAACTGTTATAGTTTCATTAAATTACTTGCTACATAGTTGGATTGGTACATAGCATTCCCGTCTGCAGAAGGTTAGGGTTCAATTCCAGGTTGAGTCAGGACACAGACTGGCTAACAACCACTGATACATGGCTAAGTCATATATTATTTATTCATATGGTGTAATAACTTAGTCATGACACAGTGCATGTTGTTTTATCACCACAGCATTTAATTATTCATAAATGTAGTGCTTTTGCTTTTCTCCTTAGATTCCATGTAAATTCCATTGCTTTGTATCTGTGACAGGTTAAGAGCTGAGTCTAATTTGCTGATTAAATATCATTACATAGATATATGATGGTTTGAATTAAACTTTTAATTAACTATCAAACACTAAAGAAATCAGTTATTTTCTGTTTTTGTACTATTGACAAAATTAATATGAAAATAATGGCATTGGAAACACGAACACACTCCATGTTTGGCTTAGGACTGCAGTTTTTGCTCATATTTAACTCGACAAACCGCTGATAACAGTAATAAATCACTGGATGTTCTCAGCAGTGTTTTTTCTCTCTTCTCACAAACACTAATCTTTTCGCAGATCACGCCCTCCGTCTCTCGCGTTCTTCTGACCGCGGTAATCTGTCCTTCCTCTTCCACCATCACACAGCAGACTGCATGAGGCTGTTTGAAATGGCGGATTGAGGAGGAGGAACGACGAGAACTGAGAAAAGAGGAGGACGAAGGGGGCGGAGAGCACAGGCTCTGCATAGAGGCTGCACATAAGTTCAGGAGTGGATCAGCAAGGCGGATCGGAGCTGGACTCCCTGCCCAGGAGGCGGGAAATGGAAGTGAAAGGAGATTTAAGTTACTGTCGTTCTCGTTTACGTCGTTTACTTGATGCAATGCATCCGAACTCACTGGTCACCTTCAATTAGAAGTAATCTGTGTTCTCTTTTTGTAATAAGTTGAAATTAAATTTAAATCTTAATTGATCTACCAGTATTGTTAACTGCCATAAGGATTTGGTTTTCTTTATTATTATTAATAATAACACATTTATGTATTTTCTTTTACTCTTTAAAAAAAACAGTTGTTTTCAATTGGTCCTCAAACTGGGAGGCGGGGCCACTATTGCAAGGGGCACTTCTAAGCAAATTACTTTAAATTTTGTTAATTTCTTTATCCTTTTTTTTTTTTTCATTTTTCTTCATCTCACGTCATTTAAGGCAGTCTCATGAAAGACAGTGACTGTAGTAAGTCTAAAAAGGGAACTAAAACTTAAATAAATGCCCATATTTGGAAAGAACAAACCTGCTTATACTGAGCAACTTTGGAAGTGTATTTGGCTTCCTGTCAATGACTGACTACACATGTTAGTGAGTGGTGACTGAAGTGGAACCTCAGTCACCAGGAACCCTGTTGTGCTGCAGGAACCAGAAAGAAACAGAAACAGAACCCGGGTCTTGCCGTAGCATACTAACAGAGTCAATGGAAGCTGTCAGAGTTTGTTCCCACTCATGGCCGTTACTACAGTTTAAACACAGGTGAGGCTGCGGAGCAGCTTCAAAGGAGCAGTCCTGTCAGGACATGGGAAGACAGTGGTGAGTTTGAAAAACTCCCCTGTGGCTTTTTGTAGGTGGGAGGTTACAGGATGTGAAGAGTAAACAACAGGAAATGAATGCATCGGCCTAAATGTAAACCAGCTGGTTTTTCTCCTTGTCAGCCTGAAAAACGAATAATGAAGATGCAGAACAACGACCAAAACATGTCAGTGGTCAGTGTTATAACAGACACATGTCGTGGTCTTTTCCTAGCACACCTCCAGGTGTAACCATGATAAAACACTCACTGTCACTTGACCAGTGGATTTATGCTAAATCGACTTTGCTGAGAGTTTTCTTCACGTTTGTCTTAAGTGTTGGTTTTATTAACGAAGTGAAACTAGTTAACCATACAACATAACCATTGTATTACATAATTATTGTGATGGTAATTATGATTATCGGCCAAAAATATTGGTTGGACATCCCTATTAAAGTGTGTCATTCAGAGATCTGTGTGGGTCACATGGTGTCAGGGTGGCTAGTGTTTTTTACTATGAATCCAGGAGACAATCCTTACAGTTCATCCACAGACGCATCATTTCGTCAACCACATCTGTAGTTCACACTCAAATGCAACAGATGGGTCTGAAGTTGAAAGAAAAATGGGAATTCTTTCACTTTGACCTTTGTATGGAACCCACTCATGGGACACTTGCAATGACATTCTGAGCCTTTAAGGATGGAGACGTGTTTTTTTTTGCCATGGTTTCATTCGACAGTTACATTGACATACCTTACACTGACAGAATGAGAGATGCAACATTGAAAAGAAATATTTATTGACGGATTATTTAGTGCTAACTCTGTTACCTAGTCAGGTTTTGTGGTCCATACTAAGTCCAGACCTGGACTCCAGTCCCACAGCAAGAGGTGGAACAAATTATTGATGTAAATACATTAGAAAACCTAGATCAACAAAGCAGTGGGTAGGACAGTCTGTAAACACAGAACACTTGGGCACTGGTCTACCTGGGTCTTTAGTTTTGTTGCATTAATTCAAATTTATACAGATTTTTTTCTTCCATCGCTATTTTCTTAAGAGAAACACGAATGTCAATATTTGAAGCCAAATGAAATATCTGTATTTTTTATTAAATGACCGACCTTATAGAACGGTACAGGTCACTCCAAATCTCTACCTGCATTTGAAACAACATTCATAGAACAAAACAAAATTGAATTTCATCTTCCTTGCTGTCATATTCATGTCCATTTGTATGTGTGTTGATTTTCTTTTTCTCAAAAAAAAAAGCAGACGATTCAGGCGAAGGGTTTCCCCAGAGAATGTTGTGTTCCTCCTCTTCATCACTTCCTGTTGAGCATAGACAAACTGGAACAAAGCAGAGCAGCTCATTAGACGTCAGGGGACACATGTCCTGTTTGCTGTTGTTACTGCTGCTGCTGTGGTCAGTTTACACTGTGGCTCTGTTACTACTCAGTGACAAATGAGTTAATCAGCACCAGGATGTCTTTTTACCATATTCACCCTAATAGACAGGACAGTTCTAGAAACCTAAACCACGTCATAGGTGCAAAATAATAAAATAATCGCTTTCAAATGAATTAACCATTTAAAAACACAGTCAATGTATCACATAGGGGGCCACAGGCCAGACTTAGAACCACCTGGTCTAAGGTGGAATAATTAACTAGACAAAACCGATTTAAAATATGATGTTCAACATTAAGAGAAATACTGTCTTTGTGTCTAAGACAGAGAAGGAGAAAGAGAGAGAGAGAGAGAGAGAGAGAGAGAGAAAGAGAGAGAGAGAGAGAAAGAAAAAGAGAAGGGGAAAAGAGAGAGGGGAGGGGTCAAACCTACTTGTCAAAAGTTGTCTGCTCCTGGAGGTTCAGTACTAAATTGTCAGCATTAAGATACACCCTGTTCTGGGATGTTGCCACCTGAAAAGAGACAATTGTAAACAAATCATCATCATCATCATCATCATCATAATCTCTTCTCCACAGCTGGACACCAACCGTCTTGGCAATGTTCTGCGCTGCTCTGATTTTCCTCAGCTTCAGATAACCAGGGTTCTTGGTCAAAGCCTGACCCAACTGTTGGACACAAACAAACAGAAAAGTCAGGACGCAACTACTACTGTAACCACAGTCACACAGTTGATACCAATGTGTAAGTGTCAGACCATCTTGGCAGCTTCAGCTTCTCCTTCAGCCTGAATGATCTTCTGTCTCTGGTCCTGTAAGGCTTTCTCTACGTAAAACTGGGCTCTCTGCGCCTCCTGCTGGGCTGAACACACACAAAACAACTATTTAAAAAAAAAAAAAAAAAAAAAAACTCTCCATGATCTCACAGCACAACAACCAGAAGCAGGAAAACACATGAGAGCAGCAGAATAATTAGAAATCGAAGAAGAAGGAGGTGGACAAGAAGAAAGACAAGAGGAAGGAGGACAAGAAGAAGAGCGAGGACAAGAAGAAGAGGGAGCACAGGGAGGACAAGAAGACGAAAATAAAAACAAAGAAGCAGAAGAAGGAGATTGATCATTCCGGATCATTGATTAGAAAACAAACAGGAAGTGAGGAAGTGTACAGAGGTACAGGCCGAGGTACAGAGGTTTAGCCAGAGGGGAGGCAATCCCCTTCTGAGGTCACTGTACGGTGAGTTGGTTCTTACCAACTTGTTTGGCCTCCACAGCAGCAGTATACTGACTGCTGAAGCTCAGCTCAGTGATGGACACGTCGTCAAGGATGATGTTGAAGTCTTTGGCTCTTTCATACAACTCCCTCCGCACCAGCAGAGACACCTGAGCGACAACAACACAACAATTTTTCACTTTGATTTTTTTGTACATAATTTCCAGGACAATCAGATCAAATGCTGGAACTTCTGACCTGTTTTTGGGGTAAATGTTAAAATGGTATTTTTTCACCATCTGGACCCAATATAATAAATATTTTAGGTATTGTTTCACCATCTGGACCCAATATAATAAAATTATTATTATTTTTCATTTAATGAACTTTATTGATCTCACAGTGGGGGAATTCTTATGCAGCAGACTTGCTACAACAAGCTGTAGTATTTGGTCTCTGTGGGAATTTAACCCAGGGCTCTGCTTGCAAGGAAGGTGTGCTAACCTCTACATTGAATTAAAAACTCACTTAGTTTCACAGTACTTAAAAACATTTTTAAAAGACACAATCTACATTTCTGCTTTAACTCATTTTCAAGAAGAAAGTATTTATAACAATACATTTCTGCCATTGACACCCATTCATATAATCCTATAATATTTGAGTTACACAATCGCATCAAAGAGCTGGAGATCAAACCCTCAACATTCTGGTTAAAAACAAAAGCCATATATAGATTTTTGTGTGCATCTGTGAACACATCAGCACCAAATCTCTTCACACTCATGCTCACAGTGACTTTTTACTCCAAAAAACTAGAAAGTAGGTCAAACATCTGTTGGAATCCAAACACAGCAGGGACTTCTCTCCCTGTACACACACACACACACACACACTCATGCACACATACGTGCACAGACAGACATGCAGCAGTGAACTTACAGCACAGGTCTTACAGACAGGATTCTGTCTGTAAGACGCCCACAGGCGTTTCTAGCTCATTTTCATAGACTTCATGTGAATGAAGCCATGTCATTATTATATAAAGTCATTAAACACCTTTTTACCTGTGGGCCATGTATTCTTTAATCTCTAATTAAAACCTGCTGATTTATATAATCCGGACAGGTTTTCGGCCGAGGTGACTCAACTACCTGTGCTCTCTGTGTGATGAGCTGTGATGCGTTGAACTTTGCCACCACAGACTTCAGCACCTCGTTGACGATGGAGGGCAGGACTCTCTCATCGTAGTCCTGACCCAGTCTCTGGTACATGGTGGGCAGGTTTGATGCCATGGGCCTGGACAGGACTCGAACAGCAATGTTCACCATCTGCAGATCTGAAAATGACACAAAAGCTGCAGTTCTCCATGTTTGTTTGTTTTTTACTGGCTGAAGCGTTTAAAGGGCGACTGCAGTGTTTTTGACTGAGTTGTACTTTATCTTCATGCTCGGCCTCACGTACTGTATATCAATGGGCTGCTTCTTTACACATTGCTGCCCTCTTCTGGGGCAAGCGGTTATAACACCACAAATCTATTGCGATCAAATAAATTATCCTAACCTACGTTTAACTGCATAAAAGGCAAACAAAAAAAGGAAAAAAAAACCCAACATTTTTTGAGTTTAAGGTTTTATTCCTGATTCAAAACCTGCTAAAATGTGTTTTTTTTAACCAACAATGTTGACTTTATTTGCAGTAATTAATATAAAAATATTAATACCTTTGCTGCCAGTCAGAGAAGAGATCTTCCTGGGTTTAGCTCTGATGTCATAGATGATAGGATACTGGAACCATGGGATCCTACAGACATACACAAACAAACACACAAAGATAAAACAGTGTGACAAAGATCAAATAGGTGGAAAATGTATCTTTGTGTCTGTAAAACACAGATTATCTTTGTGTAAATACAATTGACCATATATCAGTTACAGACATGGAATATTCAACACACACAACATACCTGGAGTCTTACACACACCTCTAATTACACACGCAAATCTCTGTAGCATTGTTACACCTGAACTGACAGACATTTAGCAAATTTCAGATTCATGTATTTGGTTATTTTTTGCTGTGAATTATTTGAGCAGGTTAAGCAGACAGGTGTGGATGACAACAACACAATCACCACAATCACACAACACACAGAACTGACGGTTGGTCACCTGTAAAGACCACAGTGTTTACCTGAAGTGCAGGCCCTCAGACAGAACAGTGTCCATCTGCATTCCTCCAACCCTGTTGAAGATGATGGCTCGGTGACCACCCTCCACTGTAAGAACACAGAACAATAATACTGTATTAAGCATGGTCCTTAATAGTTCATCAACAAAAAACACAAAAATAAAGTGTTAAAACTAAATTAAAGGTTTTTTTTAACTTTCATATCAGCCTTATAGACACAGATATTCAACATCAAACATATATTAAAATGTAAAAAGTAAAGAAATAAAAGTAAAGTGTCAAATATATATATATTTTATCATAATATATATAGAAAAGTGAACTAAGTCCGCTTCCATAACCACTAAGCTAACACTGCCCTATATACATTAATATTATTAGTACATTGTAAAAAAAATGTACTTTTCTATTTAAATAAATATGTATAAAAGTTAACTGGTTTGGGTTTAATCTAGTAAGAATTCTTGATAATATCTGTGATAAATGACATTCCTGTTTTTTTTTTAATTCCATGTATAATACATAGCTACATAGTGAACTTAAAAAATATTTTAAGATAAAATTTTAAGGAAACGTGAGTAAAAGGTTAACTCAAATCAAAATGTTCACTCGACCCATTTATACAAACTGATAATACGTTTTTATGATTTACATCTGATATAATAGTAAACAAAACATCTCAATGAGGTTACCAGGTTCTTTAGTCTAATACAGTACATGTGACTGTCACAGAGTCAGACCAACCAAATCGTGCAGCCATCAGTGACTTTCTTCTAACCCTCAACACTCTGAGGTCATCAAGGGTTGAGCTCAATGCTGCCCCTGTGTGTCACATGGTGTAACCTAAACCTAAACGTCATTATATTTGTTTACCTGTGTATGTAGCTTCTTTGACACCATAGGCTAAAGCACCTGCTCCAAGCAGCAGCTTCATTCCTAATCCTGCTCCTCTGCCTCCTCCAGAGGACATCCGTCCTGACAAGTCCCTCAGGATCTGCAACAACCTCTACAACACGAACAAAATAATCAGAATGATTATCAAAATAAATATGGAGTCAATAAATATGTGAATAAGAGCAAAGCTGGAACTCGTGTGCAGCTAAAACTTTAGAACACGACTCAACTACTTGTGATTTTTTGCGTTTATAAACCAAGAACTAATGTGACACCGTAACAATCTGACGTAAAAGTAGACGCATAGGTTGCGAGAACTTTCCACTAAAACATTTTTATTCAGACACACACTCTGAGTGAAGAGACTAGCCGTTAGTGCCGGTTAAAATAATAACAACGACTGAGCAAAATCAGTGAAAGTAGGGTGATTAAATATGGTCAATCTAATACGTTTACGGGTTTAGGTTCAATCTCACTGACAAATATTGGCCAAATGTAAAGTTACATCAGTGCGACTCTTGCTAACAGGACTCATTTTAATGAAACGTGCTAACACAATTAGCCTAGCTGTAGATGTTTCCTGAGCTAACAGCAAAGTATCTAACGCAGTACACGTGTATTTAGCACATAATATTCTTCCCGTACAGTGTTCACCCGGTAAACCCAATTAACTATTGGCACTTATTTTATTTACGAATTTAAAGTACTCACATTAGGTTCTCTGTTCGCCATGCTGCCTGCTGCACGTCAATCTCCAAGGTCGAGATAACACTGCCTCTTCACATGGGTCACAATGTCTGCTGGGAAATAGAGTATTTCCGACATCCGGTTTTCAATAGTTTAGACGGCAGAATGATGGGGAAAATTGTAGTCGCATTTGAACACTTTCCCGTCTAAATTATGTACAAACGTAAATAAAACCGTTTCATCAAGACTATGTTACAAGAGTTCTTTTAATTATACTTTGTATTATTTCGGTGTTTGAGAAAAATAATTGTTAAAAACACTGCTGTCACTATTGACATTTTAGTGGCTCTTTCTGGTTTTTATTTTGATTATAGACGGTTTGTTTTATCTTTATGAAATTTGTAATTGTTTTAATGATAGTTTTGTGTGACATTCTATTTGAAGACACAGGTCAAAGAAGAAGTCGAGGGCTGCTTAGAGGAGACACTCCTGAACAGCATCACCAGTTCTGGTCATCTGCTGGTGACACTGTGCTAACAGAAGACCTTGACAGGGTACTGCAAACACACATCGATCCCCGAGTTACCATTCCTCATCAAGTTTTAAATTTAAACATGTAAACCATTGTAATACTACCATTTTAGTCCAACTATAATAGGAGTGTACTGAAATGATGGATCTACATGTGGTCGAGAGCAGGGGTCACTAAACTTTTTGAAACTGAGAGCTACTTCAAGGGCACTTAGTAATATGAAGAGCTACTTGTTTGATACAGACTTCCCGAACAAAGTAATAATATAACTATAATAAAGTTCTGGGACATACAATAGTAAACACTCTTCTTACCATCATCATTGGACCCATTTGAATACCATTGCAAGTGTAATTGATTCAAAAAGCACAGTAAGAGTACAATTTTTGACCTTCTTGTTTATTTATAGGACATACCCCGCGGGCACTTTAGGTAGGCCAGGGGTGCTACAAGGTGCCCCTGGGCACCACGTTGGTGACCCCTTATCTAAACAGTCAGCAGCCCACCACAAAGAAAAGAAATGTTTGGATGTTTTTCAGAGTCTCGAGATAAATGTAACCCAAAACTAACCCATACAAATTGAACATTTAATATATATATAAGTTAATATGCAAGAGTGGATGGGAAACCTTTATCTACTGCACAAAAACAATCTTTATTCCCCGGAATTATTCTATTAAGTTATGAAACCTGATTAAACCATTGCACCTTTATATTAAAGTAGTCTGTTCACACATCATGCAGAATGATTCTTATGGTGTTAGAACTCCAATAGCAGATGATGGGAGACACTAACACTGTGTTTTGCTTACTAGCGCTGGAGTGTCAGTCTTAAAGCCTTTGTTAGTCAACAGCTCAGCCTCGTGGTCTTCCTTGGCTCTGTGAACTGGACTCAGTTGTTGTGGTGAGGGTTGAACTTTCACCTTAAACACATCCCACTTCTCTGGAAGCAGACCTTTGTTAAAGAGCACAGACCCTAGAAAGGAGAACACCACAATGGCAGTGACTGACAACAGCATGGAGATGGTCTTCACTGGAGCGTACTGGACATAAACCCCATCCTCAAGGACACATCCTGGGAGGCAAAGGGTAACTGGTAGTCCAAGTGATGGGTCTCCACTGAGGAGTCTCAGCACAACTCCTAAAACACATCCTGCAACAGCCCCATAACCGTTGGAAATGTTGAAGAAAAGAACACACAACAGCTGTGGGAAGATAATGAGGTAGGCCACCTCAGCACTAATGAACAAGAAGAATAACACACTCATTTTCTGAATGGTTAATAATATCCCAATTAAACCAGTGATCATGACAGTGACACGGATCACCCACTGGATCTCTCTCTCTGATGCCTGTAGAAAGAAACAGAAAAAACAGATAGTACGTGTCTGTGTGAATTGGAATGCAGTACATCTCCAGGAACTGCATCTCCATTATAACAAGACCTTCTATCCACCTTTTGTCTCAGGATGTTCTTGTAAATGCTGGATGTAAAGATAGAAGCTACAGAAATCAACACAGAGTCTACTGATGACATCACAGCAGCAGCCACACATCCGGTGCCAATGATGGAGATAAAAGGTGGGGTTAGGTGTTGCAAGGTGATCGGCAGGACCACCGCCTTTTCCCCTCGTTCATATGGAAATGGATAACCATAAGACGTCATGTTCCAATCTGAGGAACAATGATGAAATAAAAAAAGCGATCAATATCAGAATCGTTAAAAATCGGTCACATTATTCTGTGGGCTAAATAGCAGAATGATGTTCTAAGTCCAATGAGTGTGGAGTAACTATATAAATGCTGAGATCTCTCCTCCTCTGCCACACTATGCTGTTTTTGATCCAAAAATCACTTTGATTTTAGAAATTTTAAATGATAACAGCATAGCCCGTAACAGATAGAAAATATAATTTCCAATGATTCAAATGTTTAGTTTAATTTTTTGCTTACATATAATTTTAAGACGTTACAAGTACCTGTGGATGCAGCAGCTGCTCCGAGTAATACAGGCGGGATTATAAACACACTGTAAAAGAAAGCAGCTACTACACAGGTATTCTTGGCTGTGGATAAAGAAGAAGCCGCCAAGATCCTCTGATGTAAACACTGAGATCCCAGACTCCCCAGTGCCTGTATTAAAATAAGAAGATCTGTGGGTATTGATCACACAGAGCTTTTATCACTTCATAATATGTTGCTCACAGTGCTAATTCATCTTACAAATAATAGAAACTCGTCAATCATGAGCCCAGTTTTTTTCAGCTCTGGTGAACCAATCCAGGGTGTGTGTAAGGTGTTGTTCAACAGTGTCTGACTAATGTCCAGGGTGTTAGGGTTCAGCAAAACAAAAGGAACACAGAGCCACTGCAGAGACAGAGGAAACGGTAAGTGAGACATTTAGAAAAAACTCCAACTCCCTATTAGATGTAGACGTACAACAAACCCACCAAACTGATGAATATAAGGATCAGCTGTATAACATCAGTGTAGGCCACAGAGTAGAAACCTCCCAACAGTGTGTAGATGATGGCAACGGAAGCCGAGAGCCAGACACACACATTGTAGGACAAGTCCAAGATAACACTCATGGTTCCTCCTGTCAGAAACATTGTGTTACTGGAGTTCTACCCATATCCACGTTTTACTACAGCCAATCAACACACACAGCAGGTAAATGGGCAACTGTGTGCAAAAATATTTCAAGCATATGCATGAAGTCCTGAGATTTTGGTGGCAATAGCTAACGATGTGATACTGCAAATGTCACTCACCTAAACCAGTGAGTATAATAGGCAACCAGGTTATGTCGGTATAAAGTGAGATCAACGAGAGTCCAGCTGTTATCACCTTTCCATACTTGAAATAGAAAGGGTCCATCATTGTCACGCAGTTCAGTTCTCTCAGGGGTTTAGCAAACACCAGACCACCTTGTGTAAAAACGGGTAGTAGGAAGGAATTTAGATATTAGATCTATACTAGTAAATAATTCCAACAACAATAAATAAAAACAAAACAGTTAAAGGAGTACAGGAATGGAAGAGGGGTGTGTTCCACATCCAGAGTTGACCCTTCAAAGCAGGAAAGAGAACAGGTGGTCCGATACTCAAGGAGTTAAATTGGCAGTGAAAAGGTTGAAGATTCTAAGATTTCCATATAGCTGGCCAGGATTAGACTGAGTAAGTAATAAACAGATCAGAGACAAGACTGGGAAACAGGAGTGAAAACATGAGAGACAAGGGTTCGAGTGAGATCGTGGCAGATGATCAGCTTTGAAGACATTAAAAGGAAGCTGGCTGAAATAAAAGAAAAGAAAATGAAAAAGGAGACAGAGAGAGTAGACAAAAAGACAAAATCAGTTATATCACATTCTTACTAAAATGATTGTTTCAAACTTACATAAAACAAAGGATACGCTGTATGCAAGAGTCATGATGCCTGCTTCAATTAGTCCCAGAGAGGGTGTGTACACTATCTCAGCTGTGGCAACTATTGCTCCTCCACCAACCCACGTAGCTACGGAAAACATGAACATGTTTTTAAAAAACAAAACAAAAACAGTTCAATAGCCGTATGAGTAATTAAATAGAATATATATATTTGATCTAAATCAAATATGTATCCTCACATGTTCACAAACACACGCACATATTTATTAGAGATTTTCTCAATTAAAAAAAGAAAAAATGTTTCCTTGTCAAATGTGAATAGAAATCTGTTTAAACTGATTGCAGGTTTTGTTCAATCAACATCTGATTCTCTAACCTTTTCAAATCATTTTAAAATTGTATAAATTTGTCTCTTTCATTTGATTTCAGGCGTTCTCACCTGTCATGCTGAAGATCCCCACCATCCAGCTGATGCTCCGGTTTCCCAGCAGAGCCATCTCTATTTCAGTGGCTTTACTTTTCTTCTGCTCCCTTCTTGACTTAAAAGCAGCCCAGATCCCGATCCCGAGGACCAACAGGTAGAAAAGCACCATCACTACCACTCCAGGGACGTTCACGGCCATGATGCTCTGATCCACTGGTGTCTAAACTGTAGTAACAACCGAGTGACATGAACTGTAAAAACAAACTGTTAAGTCGTTAAGTTGTGCTTCTGAATTTAATTGCACTCAAGACTTTTTTGTTAATCAAATACATATACATGTACAGAGCAACTTAATAAAGGGCAACTATCATCTTTCATCTGCTGTGTGACTTGAGGGGACTGTTTAATTGCAAAGTTTCCACCTTGATTCTCAATGATATGCATATTCATTTAAATTCATGGGGCAATTTAAATGTCCTGGGGCTTGAGCCCAATGCCTCCTTTTTTTAATAATTCCCCCCACTGTAACTGGATACTTTAAACTTTAGGTGACATTAGGTTATTAGTCCTCTGTGTAGGTCCTCAGTCATCCAGGTCATCTTATCCAAAATTAGTTACATGGAGGGGAACTGGACGGAGTAGGTTTCTTGGAAATGTTTCACCTCTCGTTCAAGAGGCTTCTTCAGTTTTGGGAAGCTTCAGAACTGAAGAAGCCTCTTGGATGAGCGGTGAAATGTGATGCATTTCACAAGCTGCCGTCAAGATGCACAGAATATATATTTAAGTACTTAAATATTGTTATCTGTTAAAAAACATTGAATATTTTTGAAGTTCTGGTAAATGTTTGAACGTCAGAGATGAGTTTATGTGTGTTTGCTTTGGATCGAGTTATAATATATTCATGTTAAATAAACTTCATCCACAAATATTTGTTCATCCTAAAAGGAAGTCTAACTAACTAAATGTTGGTTTTCTTAGCCTGCAGACAGTAAAATATTCACCTTCTCCCTAAAGGCGTTTGATGCCTGTGATTATACAGCTGTCACCATCATGGCCTTCGTTCTCTGTCAGAAAGAAAAACACTGTTGCCCTGTTCACAGTGGCCCAGCTTCGATTCAGTTCCAGAGAGTTGTCAAAGCACATCTCTAACAATCAGTGCCATAACTGCTCAACGTAAAGGGTTTAGAATCAGCAAAGTCTGTTTTACAGGGTGACCAAACACAAATTAATAAATAAATAAATTCAATTCATAATAAGCGGATGACGATTGATTAATTAAATTATGTGAAAATATACAAAACGTCAGAGATTATGGAAGACAATGTTTACCCAATTACAGACATTTAAGCTGCATATTGTGAGTTCAGTTCAGTTTTTTACTTTGTTAACCCCGAATGACTGTAGTTACCCAACCTAACATGGACAACGTTATCCAAGCCTGAATGTTGGATCTCAAGGGGACTTATAGCAAACATTCTACCTCATGGTTCCAGTTCATTCAGTTTTTGATGGTATAAGTTTTTAATATGTTATTCTTTAGGATTCGTAAGGATGTGCTTCAAAAGAAGATGTGGAGAGTGATCCCAGGAACTGATCCCAGGAACGACATCAGGGGTGAGACCCCTGGCCTGGAGTGTGTTACATGTGATGTTGTTTGAAAGAAAAAACAAAACAAAACACAGACACATCGTGTTATTACAACATTGGATGACTTTAATCCACGACTCCTGTCAAATATAAACAAGTCTATTTTACACATCTCAGTTAGCAGCTAAAAGAAAAAAATGTGGTGAGGAGGTGAACTGGACGAGAAGTTAAAAGTAACACAAGTACCATTAACATGCCGACATGATCAAGCTGGAATGAAATAAAAACTTCCTCTTTAACAGCCTGTGTTCAGGGTCACTGATTCTCTGTGTGGACGAACCACAGGTCGTACATGGAGAAAAAAAAAAACGACCTTTGTTTGGGGGAGGACTGGAGTGATTTATTTGATTTCGAAGCAGTTGATAAAGTCATAATTTTTTATTCTAAATTCTATATGATTCACCTGCTACGGAGATCAAACACAGGCAGAGGGACTTTTTCACATCTCATCCAAGTGGCTCCTATGGTCCAGGTGTGACAGAAGAAGCTTCTTGAATGAAGGTAAGTATGTTTCTAAATCTGAGCCTCTGAGAAAGAACACACACTTTCCTGCATCACGGAAAATTATTTCTTCTTCAGCTTATGGTTTTCCTCACAGAAAGAACTTAAATTAATGAAGCTGTAGGCAATTTTGTTCTTGAAGTTTGTATGTTTTGATGGAACCCCATCAAAGATTTCATCTTTAATATCCACAGTAATATTCAATATTGACACGTGTTTTTGTTCGACACCCGGTTGGTTGATTATATGAAGTGAGGGAGTCACCGACAGTCAGCCACAAGCACTGAGACACACGTACCAGAACCTTCTGTTCATAGTGTTTGTGACAAAACACAGACTAGGATGATCCAGTTAAGACAGACGGGTGATTGGTCCTCCATCATCGTACACTGTACCCCGTACCCACTCTACACTCGATTATTATGAAGTCAGAAAAACAAGTTCAGAGGAAGAGAGCTGGCTGCGAACACCAGAGCATCACTGGTGGACCAGCTCGGCTCGACAGGTAAAGAAAGTCCACAGTGCAAAGACAGGACCATAAACCACATGTACAGCACCACTGTTGTGTTTACTAGAGATGTAAAAACCCAGCCAGCAGTTGAATAGTGGGTCTGAATGGATGTAGGCTGCAAACAGATCGCCCATATGGGGCAACTGGCAAATGGTGTGGCCCACAAAATGGTTTCAAACCATGTGTTCCTGTTAACTATGTAAAACAATGTGAAAAGGTAAAGGCAGGCTGGAGAATCTGTTTAGTCAACCCTGGTGGTCAGACGTGTCAGGACAAACAGAAGCACGGCTACAGGAAGTTACAGCGGTTTAGCGTTGGACTTGAAGAGCGACTCGGCTGCAGCTTCACCTCAAACTATACGCGTGCCGTTGTGATGTTGCTGATCAGTGTTTTTCAAGATGCAAGAGAGAAAGCAGAAGGTTACACATCTAATGCTGTGTTCCTGAGTTAATGCAACCTTAGTGTAGGAAAAAAAGACTAAAGTTCTGTGGAATCAGACCCCCCCGCCCCCCATGACCCCACCCTTGACCCACCTGACTAGAACTCAAGATCACAGATAATGTATTTACAATGAAACAATGTTGGGTGTGGGAAGAGAGATGATGTTCGAACAGTGGGGGATTACAGAGTCCTCTCTCTTTCTCGCTCACTCTCCTCCTTCTCCTCCATCAGTTGTTTGCTCGTCCTCCCAAGGTCTACAAGAAGTTTTCAGGTCAAAACAAAAACATGAGACAATCCAAACACACTGCACTGACCGTGCGACCACGGCTGGGTTTCACCCACACATACTGATCCAGGGTCGGCACCCGACCGTCGCAGTGCTGCAAATTTTTGGTGACCTTGGTGAATTTAGAGACCTTGGCAGGATGTTAGCGTTTCTGGAAGGTGGGGTCGAGTGTCAGACGTAGAAGAGTCGTACCCTGGAGGTGCTGACATGGAGGTCGTCGTCAAAGAACTTGGTCTCAATGATGACGTTACCACTGCGATAAAAAGGGAGTTCATTTCAGCATTAAAAAACAGACAGATTTGCTCCGTGATATTTTCTCCTTCCAGATTTTAGTTCACCGTTTAGATCACCTGAGAAGAGACTTACGTTAAAACGTTGGCAGGCATCATCTGTGACTCTGGAGCTGCTTCTATAAGAGACTGCCATGTGTTGGTGGAGTTGGGGATAACGAAGCCAAACTCAAAGAACCATTCTGCACACAGAGAGAACATCATCTCATCATTTATCAAACAAAGCTTGTACAGATAGATTAGTAATATCTGGAAAGTTGATGCAGCCTGTATTTTGTCTCCATGGAAACACACTCCATGATTGTTTCCATAACTGCACATGGATTATCATTATCAATCTCCGAACATCTACCTGCCTAAAACATTCTGTAAAAGTACAGAATCAGAACTGACACTGAGAGGAAATGAAGGTAACAACATCACTTCTGTTATTGCTAAGGTGGGCACACTGGGGTCAAGATTCAGATTTTTGAAACACCTGGTTTGGAAAAACTAAATCCTCTCTTTCTTTCAGGAAATGTTTGTACAGTAACTTCAAGTTGTCGTTCTTTTTCTATCCATCATCCATGCCACTATACACTACAATCTAGAAGCCAGTTTCAACCACTATTTAACCTCACATTTTTACCGATAATTTGCCTAAAAGTTTGACCTCAGTGCCGACTCCAGCTCCCCTAAAACACACTCCTTCACATCTCCCAGCGTCCCACTTCTATTCATCGCCGACTCGATTCAACATCTTCTCCTCAGGCAGGAAATAAGTGACATAAACATGTTGTGTCGCTGTAAGTACTGTGTGGTCCACTGGGGGCTGGTGTTACTGCTGTGCAGCGGGACTCCAGGGAGGATCTCCTAACACACAGTAACACAGCAGTGATGAACCTGAAGACACACAGCCGAGGAGAATGGAAACAACGTTTCCCTGCTGCCAACACAACTGTTTTATCCTCCATCACCTCTGCTCCGTCGCCTCTGTTTTCACTGGCTTCTTTTCTGAGGCGTTACAGCAGATGGTGACCTGGGTCAGTGCCTAGTGGCCTATGCCAAGAGCCGCCCACCCATGTTGTGTTGTCAGGGGTCAGCAGTGAACAGTCAACTAGCGTCTCACCTTCTAGACACTGTCCTTTGAAGAAGACTTTCTGCTCCAGTCGGAACTTCTCCAGTTTCTCCGAGGAGGAAAAGTTCAGTTCTCTGGACACGGCTTTACACTTCAGGATCTTTTTGGGCACACGAGCTGAAGGAAGAGTGAGAAACTTGAGTTGAGTTGAGCTAAAAGTGATGATAAAAATAAGACAGTTGAGAAGGACAGACTGTATGCTGCTGCTTTTACGCAAATTAAAATGGTTCCGACTGATAACGTTCACACTGCTGTATGGTGTACACACTATATTCAGTGAATGGACGTGTCACTTCCTGTGCAGCGTGTGAATGTACCTTCATGTTCCACTCCTGGCACTGAAAGGTCCTCTGTTCCCTGCCACAGCACTTTACCTGTTTCGGCATCTCGAAGGTTCATCCAGTTTCTGGTGAGGAAAAGGTTAAGAAACAACAGCCAGAACCAGAATGTATATTTTTGTCATCTTAGTGTTTGTGTGCATGTTTAATGAAGAAATCTTTCAAGGAAATTAAATATCAATGTACGGGTCAATAATAACTACTCATTACTTCCTACGTACTTCTCCACACGTGCACCAACATGCCTGAAGGTGGAAAGAAGTGTTCGTACCTCTGCTAATGACCTTCTTCCCTGGTGTTCTGGAAGATTCTCCACCTGATCAGCAGCCTCTTACACTCAGGTACTACTTAGTGTCACACACACACATGCACGCACACACATTGGACAGCATACCATCTGTGAAGCCCCTTCATTCCCCTCCACACCACTATTAACAGTCAGAATACACACCGCTGCCTCTCTGCTGTGTTCCCTCTACAGATATTAACTGTAATTCAATAATTACATTTGACCAAAATGTGGTTTTTTAGCCTTTGTTGAGTTCAGCTAATGATAATCCGTCACCTCTGATCTTCACTCTCCTCCTTCTCCCTCCTCTACTCTTTCTAGTAAAGTGGAGCGCTACCTTTAATCCTGTTCGTAAAAAGAAAATCCAATCTCCCACATTAAACCGATCGTCCAAAACTCCTTCCAGAATAATCCACAACAGGCTCATTCACGCCCTTTCACTAAATGAATCACTGTTTTTTTTTTATTAATTGAATATTTGACTTTTCAGTTCGGAGATTTATCAGTGGATATCGAATTTCATTGAATTGGCCTGAAGACTAAATACACAACAAAAAAAGAGAGATAAGTTAAAGATCTTTGTGTCTGTCCTTCTTCAATTGCTGTAAGTACATCACTGTGTACATGCTGTGTTCAACTAAACAGGCCCAGGTTTAACCAGGGGAGGTAAATTGTGAATAAACTGAAATGAGAAGATTTCATGCACTAAGCCACAGAGAACCTCATACAGTGGATTCAAGCTCCAACAACGTCATACAAGGCTGTGAGCCAGGTCTCCACAGGACTGACTGTGGATCGTTTGTGTGTGTATGTGAGTGTGTGTGTTAGTAAAACCACCAGGGTGCATGCACACATGTACTACGTACACACAGACTGAAATTAATGAGTCCCCAGTGAATGGCCTCCATCACTCTTTAGTCTGTATTTCTATTTTAAAGACGCTCTAATGGCTCAAAGCTGCATCAGTAGAAAAACTGTCTTTTGTTGCATCTCGCCTCGTCTGAAAGGAACCGATTTGGTCCACTTTGACAAAGGGAACCCTATAAACAGCCTTGCAGCACGACAGTGGAAATGCCTTTATGTCATCGGCAGAGACAGTCAACTCGGAAGAAAAAAAAACCCCTCAATTTCTTTGGTGTCACATAGTCAGGGTGCAGTCTAACACAGACCAATCCACAGGTTGTGGGTGATAATTAATATGGAACAGGTTTGAAATGAATTTCACCAGTAGAGCAGGTTCTCACCGAGGTTTGAGAACAAAAGTGAACAGAACACACACCACAAGAACTGATACAGTTACTCCCTTGAACTTTTGATTCTAAAATGCCCCTCATTCATTCATCGGCTACTGCTTAGATAACATAAGATCTGAGGGTGAGCTGCAGCCAAGGCCAGCAGTCTTTGGGCAAGAACAGTTCTCAGCAGAGCAGCATATAAAAACAAAGAACCATCCATACAGTTCAACTGTGTCAAAATCTGTGTGATTTTGGATGATGACATAAAACCAGGCAGAACACACACATGGAGAGAACATGCAAACTACTGGGACTAGAACTTATATTCTCCTTGCTGTAGGCCACTGGCTCACAACCATTTGTGGCAAGGCCCCAACTAAATAGTTTGTTCTCAAGATCCCCCCAAAATAAAAACACCCAGCACATTCACGGTGATTACCTTGAAACTACTGTATAATGGATTTGACTTAAGACACCATTATTACTACACAACCACTCTCCTCCTTAAACAAAAAAAAATCAATGTAAAGTTCCTACTGTGGCACAGACACAGAAAATGCCCCATGCCTGCAATAGCCCCACGACCTCTAAGGTCAGGACTGTCACCCCTCCCCGCTTTGTAAACCACCGTTGTAAGGCATTGGCACTAACTACACCGACATCGTTCTTACAGAAACGATCGGTCCTTCAGTTTAGTGAGGAGCCGTTCCATCTCTGTCTTTCATCAGACGGTGTGGACAGAAGGACAGGAGGCAGTAAATCCCTGCTCTGCTAGATCAAGGATTTAGGAATTACCCCGGAACAGAAACAGCTCTGTTCATGTGAGGAGGGGGTCACACAGTTATACACACGCCAACTGAACAAAGAGTTGGCTCTCAGCTCCACTGTAGCTGTGTGTTCATGCCTTCACAGTCTGGACAACACTGGCTCTGCTGTTGAACCTGCTGCAGGTGTGAACCCGCTGCAGCGATGGCCAGTTTATCCCAGAAGGTATTACTGCGGATAATTCAGACCCAGGTGGTCACATGAAGTTCACGGAGTAGGGTGGCCAGGAAAAGGTTTTCCTGTTGACTTCACACGACCTTCACATGGAAAGCCACATCATTCTGCACGGAGCTGCTCTGTGGGGCTGAGCCTGTGGCCCAGTGGTTGATGATTGGATGTTTGCTGGTCTGACATCACAGCCCCCAGCAGGGTTTTCTGGGTGCTGTTACCTTTTTCATCCCAGATGTGGATGTGAACATGGTTATCTGTGTGAACAATCCTGGGTCAGTGCAGCTTCTGAGCCTCAGCTCATGATTTAAATGGTGTAAAATGATGTGATGTTGAGTTCGAGAGTGACTGTCAGACTAATAATAGACAGTCTGTCACCTTCTGTCTGCAGCATGGTGCTTAACTGTCCGCTGCAGGTGGATCAGCTTAGAGGGCCGGATACACTTCAAAGCAGCCGTGGATTCAAGTGCATGCAAACACATGCAGTTGTTGATGCATCGTCTGCGCACGGCATGGTAATTAGTAATTCAGACCTGGTCCAAAAGGGGCATTTACACTACTACTGCTGTTGTTGCTGTTGAATATATTCTGCAATTTTTAGCTAATGTTGCATCTGTGACTATTTTTGGCAAAATGCAAAAAAATAGTTACAATGACAACGTTTTAAGACACACACACACAACTCAACTGTCACACATTAAAATAATTATTTAAAAACCTAATTAATCTTTCTCTCTCTCTCTCCTTTAAAATGTCTTTGGATATGTAAGAAGAAAAAAAAGAAGTTGAAAGTGCTCCAAAATTTCAGTAAATTCTCTTTTTTGTGCAGTGATAGTGTTGTGGAATCCATTCCTATTTAGAGGAACACTGGGAAGAAAATACAACAGGAATACAAATGGTTGCCAGCAGGTGTAAATGACAGCTAAATCGTCCAAGAGTCATTATTTCCTGAGATTTCAGTTTATACGGAGTCTCCATGGAAACCAGTGGAGCATTTACGGTCTTTTTACGCAGCATTGTCTACTTGTTATATCTATGCTCTATGCTGCCTATACATTCAATGATTGATACATCTGAAAAACTTTTCCAAATATTTACTTTTCATTATGTTACCAGAAAAAAAAACAAGCAGTCACACCTAAAGAAAAAACATTTAACTTTTCCAAAGTGTCACTTCCTGCTGTGTCTGTCAACTTCACCTGTTCTTATTCTGGAAACAAAGTCAATTAGTCCAAATTATAAGATGCAAATTACATTTTTCTAGCAAATTAGACAAATGTTTCAATTTAGTATATGGTTTTTTATATATGCAAACATTTAAAAAGTCAGAAATCTGGCATATAGACATACAAACATTTAAAAAGTCAGAAATCTGGCTTTTCCCCTTTTGGTAAACTTTTTACTTTTTACTACGTTCAGCCAAATTTTGATTTACTAAGTTCAGGGAAAACTTGTTTTTGTTTTTCTGACTTTTATGGAAATATTTCATAAACAAGCAGCGTTATGAATTTGATCCTTCAAGAAAAGAAGTGAATCAAGTTGGAGAGCTATTCTAGAAATCCGATATATACATTATAGGAATATATTATTTAACAACTAAAAATCAAAATAATCCACAGAGGAAACCCTGAAGAAGAGCAGTTTAAAGAGGTGAAGAAAAAAGTATTTCAGGTTCGATCTGATGTTGTCAACACTATTAACACAAACACACTATTAAACACTCGTAACAAGCAGCTAATTCGGCTGTTAGACAACAATATTAGCTGTCACTTCAAATTAACTACCAGACTGATCCTTCATAAAAAGCGCCATCATCGTTGACACAACACAGCAGTTTGACTCATCCTCAGTCCCCGATGACAAATATCAACCACAGAGCTGAGGCTAAACATGAGCAGCAGCTTAGCAGCAGCTGCTAACCTCACTGCTCTCCTGTAGCTGCTGATGCTGAAGCTACATCAGGGTCTCCAGCAGGTTTAGCTGTGTGTTATTGTTGATGTTGTTGCCCTGACCTTCAGTGTTAAAGGATACAGTTTGAAGCCCTTCAGAATCTCCTTGGCCCTGTCTTCGTCTGAAGACATGTCGGAAAGACGTCCGCTTTCGGTCCTGTCAGAAATGTAAATGAATAACAACTGCAAGCTGTGATAAAACAACAAAAAACTTCCTTCTGCTGCTAACGTTAGCTTCAGAGCACAGCTAACTACACTGTGGTTGAAATAGCATCAACTTAACACTAAAATGTGGCACCGCAGTTTAAATCTGATCCGATAATGCAATCAGCTAAATATACACAGCCAACCCGCTGAACAGCGGCCTGAGCCAATCAGAGGCGAGAAAGAGAACTACACGGCGAATCACAAGAGCAGGATGATGGGAGTAGGTTGGATTAAGATACATAAAGACGCGTCACCAGGGGCAACGCTCCAGCATACAGTGAGAGGAGGACGTAAATTAGGAATTTTGTGCCTGCCACCAAAACTATAGACATTGTTTCTTAGAGAAACGATGTAAAATATATATATATATTTGAAATGCATTTTAACTTTTATTTACCATTTACTACTACAAAGAAAATATGTTGAATGTTTTCCCTGAACAACTTAATGATAAATGTAGACAAGTTTGTAAACCGATTCCTTTTAGACACGCCACAAAAAAGAAATAAAGAAATAAAGAAAATACTATAGGTAAAATTCTCAAATTGTACAAATGTTTTACGACACCCGCACTGTAGCGCCACAATGGTAGCGGTGGTGGGTTTTAATGTTTTTTTAAATTTCATTGGATTCAATCTCAATTCAAGGTTATTATTTCTGTGACATGTATCGGGACAAATACTGGTGTCCTAAGGTTCCAACCATTAGATAGACAACGCCTACAAAATCTGACTAACTGCCCAACACAACTGAAACAAATTCAGCCCCAAACTTTTCCAGATGTTTGTTGACGCTGGCGTTAATGTATATGTAGTTGATGATGCAGGAACTCCCTCTGCTGGACAGGGACACTGTCGACAGCAGATTGTACATTAAAAACATACTGTGTTTTTGTTCTTTATGATTCCGCATGTTGTTTAAACTAAAAACCTTTTAGGACAGAGTTGTATTCTTATTAATGGTAATTAGTTTTAATATAAGTAATTGGAACGTGGTAGACTAGCATTAGGCTGCTGAATTAAATTGTTTATGACATTGCTTTGTTTCATACCAGAACTAGATTTGCTTAATGTGTTGTAGCCAAACATCACTAGTAAGGTTTACCAATTAATGTGCTATTTTTCCAAGTCCAGGGAAAGACACACGTTTACATATAAAGTCAGAGCTGAACTTTACTTAGAAGAGTCTGCACATCCTATTATTGCCCCCAAAAAGTACATGCTCATGTTAGCTCTAACTCCAGACAATGATAAATATTAATGTGTTGTTGTTTAGATTGCATCTACAGTATTTACTTTCAACTACAATAATTGTATTAAATGAAAAACAAACCTCAATTGCTAAGACAAAAGAGACACCAGCAACACCAGTTTGGATTTTATACAATAGCAACTTTTATTAAGAGACACTTTAGTCCTTCTTGGCAGCAGCCTTTCTCATGGCGGCCAGCACGAGGCTCAGTTCTTCTCGCTTTCTCTTGGCGCGAATGTGAGTACCAATCTGAAAAAGACACAGGATAATCAGAACTCCTCATGTACTATTAGGTTAACACTGACTTAACTTTGGTGGTGTAGGCCATTAACATACAACAGTGGATTGAATGTTGAAATGTACAGCAGTGTATGTGTAGTCTTCTACTCATGTATTCGAATGCGGAAGCTGAGGAGACAAACAAACAAACCCTCTTCTTGATGAACTTGAGAGCTCTCTTATCCTTGGACACTTTCAGCAACTCCATGGCTCGCCTCTCGTATGGAGCAAAACCACACACCTCGCGGATCATGTCACGAACAAACTTGCTGTGTTTGGTCAGACGCTGCACACAGGAAAAATAAAAGTTTACTCAGTCTATAAAATAAAAAAAACTCAATTTCCCTTTTATTCTGATAGGCGACTCATTTATATCATCAAATATTTCAACAGCACATCTTAATTACACAAACGCCTGATGAAATTTTGTTTAAAGCGCCTTTGTGCAATTGAGTTCTAGTCTTTTCTTGTAAATTCACCTGATTAGGCACAATGTGGCAAAAAAACCCCAACATGCATGAAATGGACTTTGGCATGATAGTTTTTACATTATACAACACATTTGAATAGGCTGACTCCACTCAGAGTCAGATACTTACCCCACGTCGGCGGCTGTGTTTGGGGGCAGTTACGTTTTTGGTAACTGGGTGGCCTTTCTTCAGGCCAACGGCCATAGGGTAGCGAATAGCCATGTCTGCAGGACACAAACAGAGACGATGTGGTTGTGATAAAGTATTAAGGCATGGCAATCAAAAAGTTTAGAATGGTTTACTAGAAAACGTGTACGAGTTTTGAAAGTACTGACTGAGCTATATTGTTAATGCTGTATCTGTTCTGTATACTGAACAGTGGAACATATTAAAATGACACCTCCAGATTAGCAGGTATTCAACGGAGCTAAGATTGGCCATGAAATTATGACTGTATTAGGTACAAGACCTCGTTTTGTTCACAATAAATATCTGAGAATCAGAGATGCTAACAGAAAACAAGCTACAAATGATTTTGAATTTAAGGCCGACCTTACGGAGAAAATGCCACCGGTTTTATACAAACTGAATGAATCAGTCTGTCGTTACTGAACATGATATACACAATTGGGCTTTGTTTTTACAAAGCGACACACGTTTAAGTAATAATTTGCTGCTAAACGAGCGCTGACGAACAAACTAGGATATGATAGTTAGCCACCAACGCGGCTATAAATATCCACTTATTTGGAATGGAAATGTGCTGCAATACTTGATTTATACGTTGAGTGATGTCCAAAGACCAGAACGGCTTATTAAGAAACTGAATATATGTACGGATGGCAAAGATTGTACATGGCTTTTAGCAGATAGTTAACGGCATTTTGGTCCTACCTGCTGTCTGTGATGGCGGTCAAGCCGGAAGGACTGCTAAGGAAGCGAAACGGTGTAAAGAAGGTCCGACCCGGAAGATGCTGTTACGTCGCAGAATTGGCAGCGCCACCCTGTGGTATTTATAAGCAAATTGCCCTTAAATCATAGGGCAACTGCAGAGTGAAGCCAGTGCCGACATTCTTTAAAATCTACTATAAACGGTGTTATGGTATGCAAGTGCACAAACAATATTATGTTATGACGTAATGGTATTTAGTAAGAAGGCCTCGCACTAGAAAATTCCGAGTATTATTATTTGGCTTACTTTTCGAAACCAAAAGACTATGTCAAGTTCCTCTTTATTATTTTATTATCTAGTATCTAGTATTATATAGTCTAAGTTTTGACTGGAGCAGCTTATCCTCTCCAACAGCAGGATTTATCGCACTGTATTCTTGTAGACGATGATTCGCTGTGGCAACCCCTGAAAAAGGCACAAGCCGAAAGGAAAAGAACATTCTTGCACAGACAGTTTGCTTTGGGGATATGCACATAGTTTTGCATAGCTGCTTCAACAAACAATTTCCCCACACTCTTCTACATATGAAAACAAACGGACCTTCGCACATGCTTTTACATCTACAAGTATGTGACCAGGGTCATGTGATATATTGGAATAATTACAAAGGATAGTCTTAATTGTTTTATAAACAAATACTTTATTGTAATGTTGTACTGTTCTGTACTTAACTTCACCAAGATAGACTGAACTACACACCGCTGTGTACCACCTCGTACTATTGTATCAAACTAGATTGCATTTAGTTGTTATTTTATACTTTAGAATAATCTATTATTCTACGACACATTGCGTGTAGTTCAAAACCCCCCAAATGCGGTGTTCTTTGCTGAAATACATGTACATTACAGTAAGCGCATAGTACCGCACCGTTTTTTGGATGCTATATACCTTAACTCCACTAGGAGCTGTTGTTTCAATGGGCTATCCTATTACCAATGATATGAATATCCATAATAATTTAACGCACAAACATTTGTTCGACAAAACAACGTGTCCGTATAAATATCCTCACAGATGTTTACTAATAGTGTTAAATATTGAAGTGTTGTTAACATTGCATTAACGTGAGCAGGGTCTTTTTCGAAAAAAAGAGAAGGGAAGCTCTGACTCCTATTTGAACAACGCGACAATAAACTTCCCATCATTCATTGCGGAACAGGAAGCAATCGCTCCTTTTGGCGCGGTCTAATAGCGGTTCCGCCATCTTGGAATCACACCACTGTTCCAGGCAACCGTGTGTCCAGCAGACTCATTGATAGCAAACGCATTGTAGTCGGTTAAGAAAGATAGTTTTTGTGTTTGTTTCACCAACATTCAGTAAACTTGTTTTTATTACTTGCCTCTACGTCAGTGAAGCAGACTTCGGGTTATCGAAAGCACCGTTATGGCGACTGCAACTCCGAGCCGTGAAGCTGGCCGGCCGGCGGCCTCTACCCCTCTCTCCCCGACCAGGATCTCTCGTCTACAGGAAAAGCAGGAATTGCAACACCTGAACGATAGACTGGCCGTATATATCGACCGCGTCCGGGCCTTGGAACTGGAGAATAACCGGCTGACGGTGAAGGTGTCCGAGAAAGAGGAGGTGTCTACCAGAGAGGTAAGTTTTACTGAAACAGTTGAAAAGATGATCAGTGCATGAGTGAAGCTTCTTATCGTTGTGTAGTAGTGCTCCATGAGCGGCAGCAGCATTCTACCACGGGGTTATACCGAATCTCTGTGATTATCGGAAACCACGTGGTGTATCAAAAATAATTAAATAACAATAGCAGTTTAGAACTTTTTCAATATTTATTTTAAATATCCAAAAAGAACCAAGATAACAATTATCAGAATATAGCATTTTAACCAAAAAGTTCCCAATAATAATAATAATAATAATAAATAAACGTGCATTGGTGAATTCCTGACACTTGATTCAAGTATCAGAAGGAAGGGTGTGTTTACAGCCATTTCTGCGCGCCAAACTGTGAATAATATTCAAAACTTAGAAAGAAAGTTTTTTACGCCGATAAAATACGAAAAATTAGACAATTGCTATTCTGCTATCTTTGTCTTTTGTTAACTTTTTAATATGTTTGAGTGTTTTCTCCACTCTGGAATTGTTTGGCAGTAACACATTTTGAGTGTTTTCTCGACTCTGGAATTGTTTGGCAGTAACACATGAGCCTATGAGGATTAAAAGCGTCCTATAAGAAGGCAGTTAGGTTCATAGGAGAATTTTTGAATTGGGGAAAAGTTTTTGAAGCAGTGAGTCAGTGTGGGCGTGTGCGCGGGCTCTCATAAAACTGAACTCTTATTTGTTTGCATTCATACTGTCTACACACTTGTATAAACGCTATTTTTAGTCGCATTTTCCAACCTTTTTCTGCAGCCATTCAAAAAGTGATTCCTTTAAAATACATACAGGTTGAGCAACGCGTAGTTACTTTTTTCTAAACGAATTAAAATATGTTATTTAAATACTAGCAAATATGCCAAATTTAACGGTTTTACCTCATAACCAAAAATGTCGAACAAATGCAAGGAATAACTGCAATCACAAAAAGTGATTTAACGTGATAAACAGAAACGAGACTATTTCCGACAAAGTTTTATTGTAGCCAGTTAACATTTTCCATATGTGATTTCGATCTTTACTTTCAGTTCTTTAGTGAGACAAAGCGTCTGCTCAGTGAAACAGGATTATAGTTGAGTAAAAACAATGAAATACAATGGAGGGCTGTGTTCTGTAAATGAGTGAACAGCAATTTAAACCGATTTGCAGATGACATTTGTCAATGTCCTAAACCATCACCGTTTGTGACTCTCAAGGCTTTGACTTTTTTTTGTAAAACATTACTTTTTACATTTCCTGTATACGTTTTAAAATGAATTATCAAGATGCCTCTTGACAGCCTTTTAGCCTAATGTGATCATGTTGGAATGTCTGGAATGAACACTTTCAGGGTCTGTACTATAAAGGGGGTGGTTGGAAAAAACTAGGCAATTTAGGGTTAGTGTTAGGGTTTTCACCACCTTGTATTCTTAAAAAAAACCCAAAACAACAGTGACACATTCCACACATAGTTTTCTCTTGAGCATTGCAAACCAGGTATTTTGAAAAGGGTAGACAGTAACACTCACCACCACTCTGCCCTCCTAGTTTGGCATATCTACAGCCAGTTATAATAAGTAATTAAGGATCATTTAAAAATGGTGTCTAATTTTTAGCTTAAAACGTACGTTCCTGAAACTCTTGGATTTATATGCTGTACATAACAAAAACAGTGTAACACACCCTCCCTGTGCTATAGTTTAATTTAATCTTCTTCATTATTTTTTTTCCTTTTCTCCACCTTTTTTTTTCAATATGTTTTGTTAAATTCAAACATAAACACTGCATAACAGTAACCAATACAACTGGCTCATTGCCAGAGAAATGGCATCTGTTGATCTGGTGAAAGTGATAGTCAACAGAAGAAACATCTTGCACACAAGTTAAGGTCAAATTTGAACACTGTAGCCTTTTTTAACCCATTGATTAAAGAAAGGTTTATTTACATTTCAGGGCTCACACTCTCACTTGGTTTACCTACTTCAACTTATGCTCAGCATGCCTTTTCCTTCAGGCCCTTTTGATAGTTGAAAAGCCTGGTGAATGAGTTTATTGTAGCTGTAGCTCCAGGCATCAAATACAACTGGGTAACAAAAGTCTAAGGGAATTATCTTCTTTTGGAATTCAATTGCAGCCATGGTTAAAAAAACAACTTCCTATATAGAGTTGAGTGTGTAATTTAAATGCTTAATGTTAAACACACCCAATAACTTGAGGCTCAGTGGAGACCGTGGCCACATGTGAACAAGATGTGACCTCTCCTACTTCATAACAGCTGTCCCGAGGTCTTCAAACAAGTGTTGTGTGTTTTTACACACAAACTGATTGAAACTGCTGGTGGAGACCACCATTAACAAACGTTCTTTGTCCACTCTGAAGCAAGTGTGTAACTGTAGCAGCTGTAACCCCGTCTGGAGCAGAGGTGTCAAAAAAGACAGTTATTTGAGCTCAATATTCAAATGGACTGTCATGTTCTAGACTGTAGGAAACTCCATGGTTGTTGATAAGACAATTTAAGAGTAAAGCTAAAAATATAAATAGCAGCAGAACTTTGCCACACTTTCTTGTTTAATAACAAAACAAGGACCTGAAGAAATGCTCAACTGACTCCACACTTACAATTTTTGGCTACTTATGTAATAATTTTTACATAATAAAGTTTTGTAGTAACAAAAGTAAAAAAAATGTAAATAAAGCTACTTTGTTTAGTGTTTAAATGTCCTATGCTTTGCCTGTTGTTTATCTTTTTACCCACACTATTGACTGTTGAATGTGCAGTTGTAACCCCCTCCTCCTTCTGTAGGTAACAGGACTGAAAGCTTTGTATGAGGCAGAGTTGGCCGATGCTCGACGTGTTTTGGATGAGACCGCTAGAGACAGAGCCAGGCTGCAGATTGACCTGGGCAAGGCCCAGTCTGAGCTGGATGAAGCTATACGCAGGTAACCTGAAGCCACAGGCAACTTTAACACAGAAGTCATGACCTTAAGGGTCAGAACCTTACAGGAGAAGCGGTTCAACTCAGGTCAAATGATTTAACTGCTAAAACAATGATGATAAAAAATAAACTTAAACATTTTAAACATAGCGTTAGATGCAAAGTGTCCAACAATGGGTCCCAATCAAAGTGGAATTGTTTTGACAAATGTATCTAGCTCCAGGCTAGGTAACAGTACTGGCGGTGTGTGTTTGGAGTGCTTTTAGGCAATCTGCATTCCGTTTGTTGTGCAACACAGTATGTGGGTGTTCTCACCTGTTGTCGTCAAGGTACCACCCCATTTCTGTTGAAGCCCCCGGGGACTGTCACTTTTTCCAAACATAAGTTTTAACCAATTTTTAGGTGAGATGTTAGAACTGGTCAAATTAACTCTTCGTCCAAACGTAACAGAGCCCTTCTATCAGTCAAATGCTGTTGTCTTTTATTGCTTTCTTGCAATTCTGGTACTCTGTTGGTTCCAGTGTTGTGCTGAAGTGGTTATACCACACAAATACCTGTCTTTCTGTAGAACCGTAAATATTTTGCTATTTTTGTGCATTGGTGTCTTGTTTGTCCATCCAGAAGTACTGGCTAGCCTGTGTAATAGTTAGTACGTAACTTGCATGTCTATGTGCAGCCAGAGAAGCGTAGAGTCAGCTAGCAGAACAACAGCATTTTCTAGTTCTATATCTTGTAAAATTCAAGACCTGTTTTATGGGTTCTGTAAAAGTGACATATTATTTTTAGATATTTTTATTTAGTGTTTGTTCTTTAGAGCTGCCTAGATGGGTGTGGTGATAAGGTCTGCTCAAAGCACCCTCTGCTGATTATTTAAGGTTATCTGAAGCTTACTAGATCATGTTTGTCATCTCAAAGTTATGATTTTTTGTTTTTTAACAGACAACTGAGCTCAGTTAAAAAGTTAGATTTCTTTGTGTGAGTGGTAAAAACTTTTGTTGTTTGTGTTTTAGTGGCAAAAAGAAGGACAATGATCTGGCTGCAGCTCTGTCCAGGGCTGCTGGACTGGAAGCCCAGCTTAACAAGAGTGAAGCCTCTCTCTCTACTGCCCTGAGCCAGAATGCAGGTCTGACCTCTGACCTGGCTGATCTGAAGAGCCAGCTGGCTAAGGTGTGTACTATCTACTTTAAATCATTCTGTAGACAAGAAGAACTGTAATGACACTTTTTGACCACTGACCAAATTACAACTACACACCACAATTAATTTTTTCTGAGTTGAATTATTCCATGTCTTCATGTTCTTGGTGATTTCATCAGTTCCCCATCTCCTAAATTTTCCTCTGACCTTTGAATATGAAATAGGCAGAGGACAGTCTGGCTGTGGCTAAACGTCAGCTTGAGGCAGAGACACTGATGCGCGTGGACCTGGAGAATCGCTGTCAGTCCCTGAGTGAGGAGCTGGAGTTCAGGAAGAACATGTTTGAAGAGGTTTGTGTGATGTTTTTAATTATTGTCATCCAGCTATTCTGATAGTTTGTTGTTATTATTTTAGGCTATATTTTTACATGTTTATGTTGATTATCTAAAACGTCATAAAATCCCACTATCTAATCAAGTTAAGGGTTAAATCTGATGTTCAGAAAAATGTCTTTTTTGTGTAAAGGAGGTCCGTGAGACCCGTCGTCGTCAGGAGCAGAGAATCGTGGAGGTGGACTCTGGAGCCAGACAGGAGTATGAGTTCAAACTGACACAGGCTTTACAGGTAAGTCAACAGCTGATGCTGAACTGAGGGGTACACACCTGAGTTCAGAGGTCATGGGTTTGAATTTGTTACTACATCTGAAACAAGAAAAAAAGTAAATAATGTATTTTCCCACCAGGACCTAAGGAAGCAGCACGATGAGCAAGTTTCTCTCTATAAAGGAGAACTGGAGCAGACTTTCCTAGCCAAGGTATGACAAAAACACAAGAGACTTCTTTTTTTCTTCTAGATGTTTTTGATCCTGGTCCTCACAGTCGGTCCATGTTTCCCACCAGTTGGATAATGCCAGGGTGTCCTCGGACATGAATGGCAAGGCGCTTAGCTCGGCCCGGGAGGAGGTGCAGGAGTCTCGTATGCGACTGGAGAGCCTGGGTTATCAGCTGAGTGCCCTACAGAAACAGGTACTGTATACAGTTGTTCACTGACCCACTGCTTTGAGCCGCTGAACCACCTGACCATCTGAACGCCCCCTGTGAATCTGATGATGTTCTCAGGTGGCGACCTCTGAGGAACGTATCAGAGAGCTGGAGGAGATATTGGCAGCAGATCGTGACAAGCACCGCTACGCCATGGAGGCCAAAGAGCGTGAGATGAGTGACCTGAGGGAAAGAATGAACACTCAACTCAGCGAGTACCAGGAGCTGCTGGATGTAAAGCTGGCCCTGGACATGGAGATCAACGCCTACAGGAAACTGCTGGAGGGGGAGGAGCACAGGTATGGACCACACACTGACTAGACCGGAACACAATTTTATCATGTGTATTTTTTTATCAGATGACTTCTTTGAAGTTGTCTGTATACATTAACGACATCAAAGCACATTATGTCACTTTGTTTTGCCTTGTCTTTTGTGTTTACTGGACATTTCTGAGACTAGTTTTCCTTACCCAGAGGATGTGGCTAAGTCTTTTAGCTCACATCTGTTTTCATTTTGGGGTTCGTAGTATTTCATATGCTCCTCACCAAAGAAATTAAAGTATAGCAAAGTAAATTTAACAGGAGATGATATCCTGTCATGGCTGAATATTCTGACAAAGTCACAGAGAAACGACCTCAGCCTCTTGTTCCTACTGTGAGTATTTGGATGAAGGAACTCACAGGAGAACCAATAAAGAGCTCAGATGAAACTTCTATATTGCTCTTGTCTCAAAGTGTTTTTTATCTGTCGTCTGCAGCCTGTCTGTGGTCACTGTGTAGTTCTCACTTTACTGACGGCTGGTCTTCCTCCAGGCTCAAGCTGTCTCCCAGCCCGTCTTCTCGAGTCACTGTCTCCAGGACAACAGGATCTTCCTGCCGCTCCTCCAAGAGGAAGAGGGTGGAAACTACCAAGGACATGCTGGCAGAGGACGCCACGGCCAGTGGAGCAATCACCATCTCACCCACGGATATGGACGGAAACGCCGTCACACTGGCCAATGATACTGAGCAGGTACATACAGCTGTAGGACGTGCCGTACGCTTAGGCTGTAGAAATACAGTGGGGCCCCCTAGATACGAGCTTCACGAAACATGACTATTTCATGTTACGAGTCTGCAACTATACGATTTTGCTCCTAATACGAGGAAATATATAGTTACGAGTGCTCTTCTGAGTACTGGCATCCATTCAGTCGTACGGCATGGGGAAGCCGCAAGCTCTGATGCCAAAGCAGCTGCAGAGTTTGTCACAAACATTTAGTGTTTAATAAAATAAAAAATATATATAATCCTTCTCCTACGCTTAGTTGCCACAACACTCTCCAGCACTGTCCCTCGTTTGGTTATTTTACCCATTTTTATAGCAATAATTGTTTTTTAAATTATTATTTTATATTAGCAGTATATTTGCTCATCTCTATGTTTTTGATGTCTAGATGGGGGGGATTAATAGTATATTTCTGGGGGGCTGGAATGAATTAATTGGTTTTTAGTTTTTGTAATGGGGAAAACTGGATAAAAAAACATGTTAAGAACTGTATTCTGTTTTTCTACAGGACCAACCTCTTGGTAACTGGAGGTTAAAGAGACAGGTGGACAATGGAGAAGAGATTGTCTACAAGTTCTCCCCCAAGTTTGTCCTCAAGGCTGGACAGTCGGTCACTGTAAGACGTAGACATTTTCTTTGTCCTGTTCAGCGTTGCATCGCAATTTTCATAGTTCATTAATTTCCTGTTTAAAAATGTTAGTACGCTCCAAACTATTAGTAAGTAAAATTATTTTTTACTTCATCAGAATGCTGTCAAACGTATAACTACATTCATTAATGTGTGTGTGTCCAGGTTTGGTCTGCTGATGCTGGTGTGGCCCACAGTCCACCCTCTGACCTGCTGTGGAAGAGCCAGGCTTCCTGGGGCACAGGAAATGACATTGCCACTTCTTTGGTCAACATTGATGGAGAGGTAATAAAAAACAGTTCCTCAGGCTACGTTGAAGATTCTTAATCTCCTACCTGTGACTTCTTGGGAATTCCCCAGAGAAACAATGAAACATGTTGATGGGTTTTGATAAATTGAATTGAAGTTTTTCTGTCAGTTTTGACATGGCTGTTATTCAACACCTCAGTATTTCATTTGGTGTGAAATCTTTGTTCAATCATTTGATGTGACTTCCTGTCCTGTAGGAAGTGGCCAGGAGGACCGTGAGCAAGACTCAGGTGGAGATGGAGAATGGAGAGGAAGAGGAGGATGAGGAGGATGAAGTGGTGCAGACAGTGAGTAGACTGGAATCCTAACACATTTGACAGAGAAGTGAACTTCCCTTCATGGTGAAATCAGTGAAGTCTCAGAGTTAAGAGAGAGCTCCGTGTAGGGTGGTTTTTTTATTTTTATTTTTTTCCCTCCCCATTTTACCACTGTTTAAGTTGCACTGACCTGTGATTTATTGTTTAATTTGTTAAATGCTTCAAATACTTCATGCTACCTGCAGTCCACAGGAAACCTCTGTGTGCCTCAGTCTGTGGTTATTTGATGAATGTAAAGAGGATTATGAATCAAGTTGAGAGACATTTTTACAGTAGAACGAACCGTGAATGTAGACATCTCCATGCAACCCACAATGCATGCTACAGTAGAACGAACCGTGAATGTAGCAGCTGTTTATGTAGGACATCTCCATGCAACCCACAATGCATGAATTGTGTATCAAAATGAATTTTAATTTTTTTCTTTTCGTCTGTTCCTCCTCCATGGGAAAGCCTCCTCTAGAGAGTGCGCCATCATGTAAAGTCTTCCTGTTGTTATCAATGGCGTCGACTTCACCACTACGTCACCTCCAATCCTCATCATTTGATGTTTTTAATTTTCTAAGACGATGTAAGAAACTTTGGACTTTATAGTCTCATTCATTTTTATTTTTTTTTACTTCTATACATATTTTTGGACCTACAATAATACCAGCTGTTTCCCTAGTAGTAATTCAGCAACCTCAGCATCACTATGTCATTGATTTATGATTGAAACTGTCGGAGTATTCCCACTACAGCGATATAACTCTGCATGGTCATTTATACTACACTCTATTAACTTGGTTTGTGACGACCAGGGAAACCTATTTGGGGTTCATGTCTGTTTATGAGTTGTTAAAAAACAACAGACGTTTCTATGGCCATAAAGAAAAACTGAATGAAAAAATATGACAAGTGATGAGCAGTTGTTAGAACTTTTTAATTTTTTTTAAACCCCAAAATAAGAACTCGTAATTTAGAGGTATCTAAAACTACAAATTTGTGTAATCAAACTACAAAATTCAGATTACACATTTATTACACTTGTGTTTGCTTAATACAAATGCTTCCTCTAGAATTGTTTACCTCTAGTGTTTTTAATTCATCTTATTTGAAGGTGGAAAAAACTGCAGTAAAAGTTGGGAGAATTGATCCTAACAGATTTGTTTCCTGGGAACTAAAAAAAAAAAAATAGAAAGCTGGAAACCAATCCTTTGTAGACGTACATCCAGCTGTCACTGAGATCACTACAAATAAAACTCCTAAACACTCACAAGGAGATGTGTTCACAGAGAAAGAACTTCCTAAAAGTCCTCGTCACTTTTGTGAATCAATACTGATTTTTATTTTTTCGTATGTCTCATGACTCCACTGTAGAAGACAGCGGTCGGACGTGACTGTCCATCTGATCTGTCTTAAAGTGACAGAACAGTCAATATATTACGTTTAACACTTTACAAAATATAAACATATAAGGATGTGATGTAATCTCACAGTTCTGCTCTGGCAGTAAACACCACAGAGACTTAGAACAGAGACACTACACGTTTGTTCCATACCAACCACATTCTCACTAATGAGGGCAGTGACACCACTACACCCACTCTGGGCCCCTCCACCACTCGGTGTTCATCTGTCAACACCTCTGACCTCAGTGAGTCACGCGTACACTATAGAATCTGAAGAAAAGGGTGCGTACCATAAAACTCAAGAGTGTGGGGGGGGAGGGCGAAGGGGGTGGAGTCTGTGCTTGAAGCCAGTCATGTGTCAGGGCTTCATTTTTGTTTTAAAAAAAAAAAGTCTTATTGAAAGCGCTCTGTTTAAAAACTGACTTCAGGGTCTGTGTTTATATGAGCCTGTCAGCTCCCTGTTAGTACTGCAGTACTCTGCCTTTACTATACCACTGCCTAACTGACCAATCAGATCAAGACTCATCTTCTGTGCAACTCAGTCTCAGACAGTTACACTAAGCAAATATACAAAAGCTCTCAAAAAGAAGACTGATATTGACCTAGCCGGCTTTTTTTGTTTTGTTTTTACTGTTACTGTTACTTGGGATTCCTGGGCTCCAGAGTGGTGCAGTGCAGTTTTTTCACCTGAAGGTTGAGGGTACGATACCACCTCATCCCCAAACCCTCCATCAGAAAGGGCGCCTGGTGTAAAAACTCTAACCGATCCTCATGTGACTAACACTGTGGTGACCCCTGGTGGAGGGACAGGCTGAAATCGTTGATTCAGGCTCTGGGATATTGATCTGATGTTACCGGCAGGTGGATGGATGTTTGTCGTAGTACAGATGTAGCCGACTTCTCTGACTTACCTCATTTTGACTGACTGCTCCCAGTAACAAGAAGCAGTCTGGCTCCTGTTCAACGTTTGGTAACGTTTTGTAAACGATCCACTTAATTTACAGTAATGCAGACTGTAGTCATGGTTCACGGGTGACATAGGATGTTAAGCAGCATAAGTACGTGGTGAGAGAGTGACTTTAGATGTCGGTCTCTCCACACAATCGCTTTTGTTTCAGATTTAGCTCAGTTATTATGTATTAGGTGAATAATCTACAACCACCGTTTGGAAACATTTGGAACTTCTGTACCTTTTTCAAAGAAGAAGAAACGGCAAGAACGTGTCAGTTTGCTTTCATTTTTGCCAAGTTTTCAGGGCCAGCAGCAGAAGTCTCTTTATTTACTGTAAGGGATACCATAATATTTACTGTGGCAATATTCAACCCAACAACCCCTTTGTTAAAAAAAAATCGAAACAGTAGATGTGCTGTTCAGAGACTTAATGATGCGTTCAGGTGTCCGCCACATCTGGTTCTTGAACCAGAGTTTATTTTTTAAGATATGTCTTTAAAAAAAAAAAACAACCAAAAAAAAAAATCCCCGCAGCGCCGCCATGTTCGCAGAGAGTTTAGGTGATTCCATTGAAATTGAACATTTTTCACCATGTTGAAAAATGTAAATCTGACGTATTTACTGCCGCTTTTTTCTTGAATACACACACGATACACACACGTAAAATCAACTCTTTGTTTTCATGAATTGTGAAAGGACTGTCACTTTTATTAAAAAAAAAGAAATTAAATTCATAAGACACGTGACCGAGGGAGCATCCTTGAACTAGGATCTAAGGTCATCTTGTGCTTACAGTGCCCTCTGCTGTAGCACAGTGCGAACATCAACTCCACACAGCCAAACGTGTTTTTAACTTTGAAATATTTTTTCCCACAATCGATTTTGTAAATTGTGGGTAAAAAAAAGTGACAGCCCTAGAATTGTAATTGAGTTTTGCTTTCACATCGTTGGTGTCATCTTGTAAAACTCATTTTGTGTGTTTGTGTGTGCTGTGCTTTACATTGCTAGTTTTTTTTCTGTAGCTTTACTGTCTATGTAATCAGTTTATTTACATCAAATGTTTGATCCATTATTTTATATTTAGGATATTCTGGGGTGATTAGGAGACTGTGTGTCTACGAGCCAAACTGACTTGAGAATTTTTTCAGAATTCTGACATTTTAAAAAAACAACAACCAATAAGCCAGTAGTGAACACTGCTCCTGTACTGTGAGTTTAAAGTCTTCACTGATAGGTGTGAAACAGTGAGGGGGAGAAAATACATTTTGAACGTGAAAATTAACTGTAGCACAGACATTGTTAGATAAACTGTGACTGAAGATTTTACTGATCTGATCCACTGCTCAATCTTCAGGGACTTTGTTATAAAAAGTGAATATACTGTATGCCGTAGAATCAGTCCCTCCAGGTCTAACCACCTAAACAAATAAAAATACAACCAGGGGCTGCAATATTTTGTTTTTGGTCAATTATGAAGTGATTTTTGCTTTTTAGTAACTACAAGTGATATTTGAATCACTGTTTTCTTTTTTTTCTTCTATTTTTAAAAACTGATTTCATATTTTCACAAACCAAAGTCATTAAATTTTGAATGTCATCAGCAGCTGGGACAAAGCTGGGAGAGTTATTTGTTTTATGACAATATGAATGAATTGTTCTTGGTTCAAAAAGCACAGACTGCATCTGATTATACCGAGTTTGATTGACTCCCACCCTGGAGGGACTGTGGCGTGGATTCTTTACAACCAGTAAAAACAGCTCTAGCCTGTAGGTAGATGTGATTGTGGTAGTTCTGTTCAGAACTAAACATTAGACACCAGGGTTTTAATCATTAACGGAGGGGGAGGGGCGGGTATGATTATCTGATGTTGAACTACTTTTGTACACACAAATATTAAATGTTTTACATATAAACTGGTGGACTCTGTTTATTTCTACACAAAGACGTCTGTGGCATTAACATGGTCGAAGCAGGAACATAAATATAAATACTTCCTCCTTCCAGTTTATTTCCCCTAAGCTATCTAAATAGCTGCAAAGCAAACTATTTATGTTTCTTAAAATATGTGATGACATACAACGTTTGTAATTTATCTTTATAAGTAAAGCAAAACAAGCAAAAAAACTGAATTGGGATAGTTTATTTGTACACAGCGGCGGTTTCACTTTTGAACCTGGTGATGGCAGCAGAGTAATGTGTGTCAACTTAGCAGCGAAGCCAAGGAAGCTTACAGCGGTGAAGAAGGAAGTGGAGGGAAACCAACGAAGAAGAAGCAGAAGTCCAACTGATTTTCTGTGGGCTCGAGTGTGCGTTTTTGGTGATTTTGTGTGAGTGTATTTACAGGATGCTGCTGATTCTGTCTGAAGAACATAAAGAACATCTGTCCTTCCTGTCGCAGGTGGACACCGAGGGTAAACGACGTTACTGCTCTTCTCTCCGACTGCAGTGTGTGTGTCAGTGTCAGTCAGCTGAATGTCTGCTGACACACCACACTAACATCATCACTGTCACACACCAAAATCGACTTTGTATCTGCTTAAATATGATTTAAATACTTGTTTAAGTTTTAACTGGGACGAGTGGGTATTTACCACCACTACCAGGTTGATCAGTTAACATTGGTGTTAATGATGGACCCTAACATTGACTGCTGAGATTGGCGCCACAGGGTCATGGATGGGTGGATGCTTAATGTACGTGTATTTCTGACTTTTTCCCCATAGTGGTTACAGAGTTTGGTCGAATTGCTCTGGAGTTTTTGAGGAGAGGAAGCAGCCCCAAGATCTATGACGGAGCGGCTAGTAAGGCTCTGCTTCTAATTCTGTGGTACATATGTACATAAGGGGGCAGTAGGACAATGTCTCTGTTTCCGCCTGACTGCGCAGCTTGCTGTAATTTGATGTTAAGTCTGCTACATAGACATAATTCACTGCTATCAGTCGTGCTAACATTCCAGCAAAAATTCACTGTAGACCATGTTCAATAAAGGGAGATTTCTATAAAATTGTATAATAATAATTCTTGTTATAAAATGCTCATGTACAGTACACTAGTGACATTTAAACCTCAGAAACCAACCACACATGTTTAGGACTTGTGTTAGTCATGGATCTACACTGCTGTTGTGAATTACTCAAAATTCAACACTGCCTGCAGGGAAGCTGTCTGTTCCTGTGGACATGGTCCAGCATGGAGTAGAAGGACTGATGTTCCTGATGACAGAGAGCTCCAAACACTTGGTAACTGACACAGTACTCATTCAACTATTATATAATATATAGTATATTATAATACATAAATGTGGTATAATAACACACAACCCTTTAATGCTTTGCATGAGGTTTTACTCTGTGCACATTTGACATTGCTAAGCCATAAAGTCAAACCAAATGTGTTTAAGGTTCAGAGTGGGAAAGGTTAAAAAATATATATTGCTTACTCTTTCACTCTAACAGGTCTCTGATGTGGATTTCCAGGACTCTGTGTTAACCTTGGGCTTTAGCGAAGAGCTCAACCAGATACTCGTACAGGTGACCCTCACATGACTAAACTAGTGTTGTTAATGTACACGAAGGTGATGTTATGACCTCGTCTCAGGGTTCAGTAGCTTCCAGCTTTATTTTTTCCTTCTTATCTCAGCTCTATCTGCAGCACCGCACACAGATTCGTAGCATCCTGAGTCAGCTGCCTCCCACTCTGCCTGCCTACCACAACCTGGAGTGGAGACTGGATGTGCAGGTGTGTGTAAAGCTGTGTTTTGTTTTTTTTTAGATAAATCACGACTGTAGTTCTTTGTGATATTTTTCTGCATGTGGAAATTTGAATTTTTTGGACTTCATCTTGGATTCTTTTTTCCCAGCTGGCAAGTCGCTCCCTACGTCATCAGATCATTCCAATGCTGATGATGCGTCTTCATCTGAACAAAAGTGATGTCAGTGGCAGCAGCACCAGCATGGTTCTACAGACAGACCCCAGTACCCTCCTCCACCTCATCTCCACTCTGGAAACTGCTCTAGCTGCCGTGAAAACCAGTCACTCTCGACGTATTTTACGCAACATCAAATGACGACTCAGATCATTTCCTGTATAGTTTTTGGAGAAAAAAAAGAGACATTTCTGCGTTTGTATCTGCATAAAACTTTTACTGACTGGCAGATGCTCATCATTTTGTAATTTTGATAAATGCTCTGAATCCCATTGAATATATTGTACATAATATTTCTACTTTGTTAATGATTTTACATTAAAGGTACACAGACTGCATTTCATTACATTGGATTTTTTGTTTTGAGCCCATTTCCATACATGTAGCTCTATATGGGAAGATGATTTACTTGGCACACTGAATCAAATTTGTTTGACAAAACATTAACAAGGCCAAATTTATCCTTATAGGGATGTGTGGGTCTTGTGTGTGGTGAAAAATCAGACTGCAGAGATTTGGAGTAGTGTTTTAGCTGAGGTTTCCTGAGGTCTCTAACCCTAACCCTTCAGGTCATTGTTATGGCTGGAATGAAAACGGAATCCTGTTCTGGACGACTTGAGGATCACCTTTTAAAATCTTTTCACATTCCTTTATATTTATAGTCACTCATTATAGTCATAATTCCCCAGTTATGAATGATCTGTAGCATCAACAGAACTTTATATCCTTCCACTGCGGGGACAGTGTTGTTTGACTGTTATTCCTTCGCCTTTATTCGTTGTTTACATGTAAACAACGTTTCTGTGGTGAAATATTATTTTTCTTGTCTCATAATCTGCTTTCGTGTGGAATAAACTTTCGGATCTGCTCTTTGACACATTGTACAACCTTTTCCGTCTATGAATACCAACAATTATTTTACCTTTTAAATTTAAATTACGTTATATATTACTAAAGGCATCGTGTAACTATAAAATATATTGAGGTGTATCGTTATTAAGATATGGATTAAGATATGGATCAAATATAAATAATGTCTAAGATAGACCCGCCCTATCTCTCGTCAGATTGGCTGTTATGATACGTTGCCTCAATCTAAAGCAATCATTACACCCTATTTCTGTAACCTATTATGACGCTATATCCGTCAACCCAATCATATTTATCAATCTAGGTTGGGAGGCGGGACTTAGCTTAGTTACGGGTGGGGAGGAAACGCAAGGCGGTGTCACCTGACCGTTAGCTGCACACAGGAAGTGGATTGTTGAAATTAATATGGCTGTTGTCTCTATACAGAGACGGAGGGCTTTATTTTAAACAGCCATGACATTTTCCGGCTGCGTCAAATTATAGCGCACCGTATCTCATTATTTACCTGTGTACTGTAGCTGCGGTGCCGCTGCTCCGACATGGCGCAGTGCGTTCAGTCCGTCCAGGAGTTCGTCCAGGACTCGTTCGTCCCGATGGTGGCCGTCCTGTGTAGTGAAGAAGCGGAGAGAGTGACCCGCAAGAACAACCTGAGTTTCGCTGAGCTGCTCAGACCTTTTTGTAGACTGACGTCCGAAGGTGAGCGCAGCTGTTTTTCTAATATCTACCGTTGTCATTAGAAACTGAAGCTCCGCAAAGCAGCGACTTTAGCATCTTTGCCTAAGATGTGTTGCAGTCAGTTAGCTGCGTGCTAACAGATGGCTAACAGGCTGGACTGTGACTAAGCAGCTGTGTGTTGACAGTAAAGGGATAAGACAAGATGAAGAAGTCCAGAAGTGACACCTGAGAGCAGCAGGTGTCACCGGACCGTACACTGTCTGAGCACTGCTCGCTTTACAGTTTATCAACTATCGTTAATCTGAACAACAAGTAGCTGACAGGAAGCTAAATGGCTAATGTTGTCCTGACATGGGCTTAAGCGAAATATTGTTAATGTAAAGACTGTTACATAAGAGAGAACGCATATGTAGTCTGTGACAGAGAGCTACAGAATCATGTCTAACGCATTTGATAACACCTGTGTAATGTTATAGTTAGGTTGTACTTATTTGGTTGAAACGGAATAAACAGACGTTTTCAGCATTACAACATTTGTATCTTTGGAATAATCCTTAGGGTGAGGGATTTGGGTTGTGAATTAATGCTACGATAATTGCTTAAATTACCAAACAAGTGAATTATCCCATAAAATACTAAAAATTATAGAATATTTTTATTTTATTTTAGTTTTGTTGAGCAGGATTGTATGTGTTTGGTTCGTTATTCTTTTTGTCAAAGTTGTCTACATATTTTGTCGTCCTGTTTACTTTGCTTTTTACTTATTTTTTTCTTTTAACATTCTCAAAACCGTGGCTGCAGGTTTTTGTGGGTCTAAAAATAAGTTGACACCATCATTTCAACCTATGGGACACACTTTGCTTTACTATTAGTTTGGCATGAATTGAAATGTAATCACAAACCAATCATGCCGGGGTTGGACACCCCCCTGCCCCTATCCACACATTGAGAAGGTGAAAGTGGTAGAAAATTGAAGGGTGCATGGACATTTCATCCAGCATATGAACATTGTCAAATCACAGATCTAAATCCCTGCAGATTGTTTCTGAGGTCCTCCTTTGAAACTGCACGTTGTCGTGTTCATCTCTTCTCCAGGTCACATCCGGGACCCCAACAACCAGGTGCTTGTTGTAAAGAACCTGCGCATCTGTGTTAACAATATTGTGACGACCCCAAACACGGCCACAGCAGCACTAAGCCCCGCCCAGAAGCGGTTCCTCAATGAGGTGGTACTGTCCTGTCAACCACAGGAGAGCGCTGTGGGCAGTGTGATCGCGACAGGAGAATACAACCTCAACTTCAGCGGTAAGAGCTCATTAATCACCAATACCATGGTTATTAAGTAATAAGAAAGGGTTTTTAGGTTCTGCGTTTGTTAAGGTCCAGGTTATGGTCAGGGGGAGAGTGTTTTTTTCATAAAACGACATTTGTGGCATCTGTGTATAGAATTATAAGTTCAACTGGATGGGAAAGCTAGACAGTTTCAATGTTCATTCACTTTGGTTCACTTTCACGTTGCACTTTTAAAAGTGGACTAAACCTCCCTGTCAATGTCGTACTCGTTTAGCGACTCCACGCCAGCCAACCAGGCAGTTTCCAACTTCTCAGTTTACCTCTTTTTTGAGTTGTGCTGTTGCTTTGATTTTTTTTCTTACCTAAACTTCCTCTCTTTAGTTTGTCCATAATGCCTTTGCAATTCTGACTGTAATCAAACCAGATTTGAACATGCAAGCAAACTGAGACCCATATCTCAGAGACGGCGTGTTGAACAAAACTGAGTATATTTACCCAGGAAACAAACTGTGTTCCATTTAAAGAGGACCACACATCTCTGGTGTGTGTTTATTCGACTTATTCAAATTAATTGTCTGTCTGTTTTGTCTCTTAACAAGATGCTTGGCCCAGAGATGTTAATCTTATTCCCACTCTTGATAAATAGGAAGGGGTCAGGCTTGAAGACAAGCATTAGTGATTTCACTAAGACCTTTGAAGAAAGTGTTGTTGATCATTACTATGATCTGGATGAAGATTTAGAGGAAGGACGTGTGATGTTTGCAGAGAGAGTGGGTGGGTGGCTGTCCTCACCCCTGGTTTCTCCAGCCAGACTCCACCTCCTCACCTGCTGCTATCGACATGTCTTATTAAGAGAGGAACACATTCATGAGAAAGCCTTAATCAAATTCCAATATAACTTAAAGCTAAAATTTACTATGACGACAGTTTTCCAAGGATTAAATTATTTTTAAAAAATCCAATATAACGTCATGCCTACTGTGTATATTGCCATATACTGCAAGTATATGGCAATATGTGGTATTGTGATACACATTGGATCACCAATACACACCCATACTAAAATGTCATTTCAGCTAGAAGTGTTGAGACTTTGGCTCAATTCATTGTCTCTAAGTTTTAACCTGTTGTTTGCCACATTTTAAGCTGGAAAGTGTGATGTCACTAACATCCCCTCTGACTCTGTGCTTTCACCTGTTAGACCCCTTTTTTAAAGCTAACATGCCATGGTACAGTACTTGGAGAGAGACACTGTTGGAAGTCAGCACCATCAGACAGTATGCAGGTATCACAGTCTCACCATGGTTCATGTGTGGATGCTCTTGGTCCTGCCAGCTCCACCCCTACCCTTCTCTTTCTCTAGTTTCCTGTAGCTGCAGTCTCCTGTAGATGCCCATGGTGGTTGGTCCATTGTGGTCCACACCTGTGGAACACACTTTCTAGAGGTCACATACATTTGTCTTCTTCTAGTAATAAACTGTCTTTTGCAGTGAGGAAATGGACAAATGCTTGTGTAGATCAAATTTCAGGTGGAACAATTTGCCTCCAATTAATGTCTCAAAATACCATGCAAGTGCTAATGGACATGAACCAGTTCTGGAGAAGACACCACTGCAATTAATGGTCCAAATTCTTGTTAGGCCCAAATGTGGCCCGTACATGACCACAGTCTGGTCCAGACAGTGGTAAAATGAGAACCATTGAATTTTTTTTTTGTCAAAATTCCTCTTTAAAAAAAAAAAAAAAATTTGTTCTTGTGATGTCATTGTCAACGATGTCCAACGTTGTCCTCTGTGTCAAACAAAATAAAGGATTATGTTTTTAATACGTTAATAGACGTTCATGCTGTCATGCAATGTGATGTTAATATAAAGAACATATTGTAACAACAGAGCTGTGACTTTTAACTTTTTTGTTAAATTAGTCCAATGGTGGTGCTGTCCTGCTGCCAGCATTAAAAAAAGTTCTAGCAGAAACACTGTGTCTGTCCAGTAATCAGTTTATGTTGTGTAGCACTTGTAAAGGTTTTTTGATCAGGTAAAGATACCTATAACATGGTTTAAAGTCTGATCCTGTGTTTTCTCTTTGTAACACACCTGCTGTGTTCTCAAACAAGCAGAAAGAGACTGAGAACTCTGTGTCTCCTGTGTGGTGGACCACAGGTTCTTTTTTTTTCTTCTTTACAGTACTCTGAGATCTTTAAAAATATGTGTTAAAAACAGACAAGATTATATCCTCTTTAAGCTACGTGCCATGGGAAATGGAAATTTACAGTGGAACATTACAGAGTAATTAACATGTTCTCATGTGTCTTATATTATTTTTGTTCTTTGTCTGTAGCCACCACGCCTTGGTTTGAGGCTTATAGAGAGAACTTCCTCCAGTCGATGCCTGCCTCTGACCATGAGTTCCTCAATCACTACCTCGCCTGTATCCTTTTTTTTCATTGTTTAACCTCTTCTAGATAAACATTGTGTTAAAATCATTAAAAAAAAAGAAAAGTTAAATGTTTATTTTCGTTTCCTGAGTGGCACAGCCTTTGGCTGTAACTGACAAATTGGTTCTGTTTAAACTCTGATCGTCCAGGGAAATATTGTTGACCTGATGTGACCTTTGTTCTGACCTTGACCCGGGTATCTTCAGGCCTGCTCGTGGTGTCTTCCACTGAGGCTGTTCCTGTGGAACAGTTCATCAAACTTTCACAGGAGCAGCACAGGATACAGCACAGTGGAGAATACACCAGTCCAAAGTGGTTCATCCCCAACACCCTCAAGTACTATGTTCTACTGCATGACATGGGCGAGGGCGATGAACAGAGGTAAAAGGAACAAAGTTTCACCATGGAAATGTGTTGCTATGGTTACTATTGCTTAGCCTCCAGTTAGTGCACTGATCCACAGGCTTGACTAAAGGTCTGAAACTGTTTGTGTGTGACTGGTGACTTCCTCCTTCCTCTCCAGGGCAGATACAGTGTATGAGGACATGAAACAGAGGTATGGCTCTCAGGGCTGCTACCTGCTGAAAATAAACTCTCGGACCCTCTCCACTGAAAAAGACGAACAGATCCCGGACCCCTGGAGTCAGTATCTGCACAGGAACAGTCTGCACAGTCAGGTGAGATGTGTGGCCTTGTCCATGCGCAGTCAGGGATCGTGGTCCGGATCAGGGACTGTGGGCCTGAACTACATTGGCTTTAAATTAAAGGTCAATTCAACCCAGTTAATTCACATGCACATACACAATGACCAAATGAGAAAATAAAAATATATAATTCACATCAAAATCTGAACTCATGGATTCCACACTAACGTGGTCTCTGCAGAGTATTTTCATTTCATTTATACTTATTTTACATGTACATGTGCATTTCTTTAAAGATAAAATATTTAATTTAATTTGAAACATATTTCAACAACTAGATTCAGTTATTGACTTTTTTTCCATCATCACACCTTGTTTACTTCTGTCTCTTTTTGCAGGACACACTTGATGATGTAACAGTGAACAGTGGCCCAGTGGAGAACAGTATTAATTCAGATGAGGTCGTCGGGCAGAACTCCACAGAGAAAGGTCATTCATTTCTACAGCATGTGTGTTTGTGTGATGTTGTCGTCATGTGGTCGATAAAGTTATAGCTCTAGCGAGGCACATGTCGTCATTTGGTCAATATTTGTACATTTTTCCAGCAGACACAGTATCCAACAACCTGGATGGACATCCTCTGCAGCTGGACTCTGGGAGCAGCTCTGCTTCAAAGAAGGCTACCAGAGAGTCGGATAACACATCAGGAGGAACAGGAAGCCACGGGACCTGTCTGAGCCTGAACGACCACGACCACATCAGACAGTTCATCCAGGAGTTCACCTCCAGAGGTCTCCTGTCACACATCGAGAAGAACATTAGGCAGCTCAACGACCAGGTATCCTGAACCCTTATCCTGACCCATGATCTACATCTTCTTCCGTTTTTGCAGCCATTTTCTTTTTGAAATATTTAGTGCTAATAACCATAAACTCAATCTCAAGAACATTAAACTGCACCATTCTCATTCATTTCCTGTATAAATGTATGCACTTGGGCTGCAGATGGTGTTGTAACTCAACCCATGGACTGCTGTCCACATGTATGTCCTCCTACATGTCCCACAGTCCAATTACAGCCTGTGCTCCGAGGTCTTTATTACCAACAAGTGAACCCACAGTAAATACAGAGCTCAAAAAATGCATGTTATTTTTAACTCCTTCAAAGGCACTTGAAAATATCCCTGTCTTGATTTGACTGATCTGCACCAACACTGTAGTTCTGTGTAAAACTGGTCTCTCCTGTCAGTGAGACTCTAAGTCCTGCAAAGTGAACCCTGTTCTCTGTCCTCAGCTGGTCTCCAGGAAGGGTCTGAGTCGGTCTCTGTTCACTGCCACCAAGAAGTGGTTTGGAGGAGGGAAGGTTCCTGAGAAGAGCATCAGTGAACCAAAGAGCACGTTTGGCCTTCTGTGAGCACCGCACCATAGTCACAGCTGACATGACACCGCAGCAGATGATCTTTTATTCATTCCTTCAGTCACTGTGCTCTTCTGCTCTGACGTCCATGTCTTTGCTGTCAGATATCCTCCAGAAGCTCCGGAGCTGCAGATCAGGAAGATGGCAGATCTGTGTTTTCTGGTGCAGCATTATGAGCTGGCCTACAACTGCTACCACACTGCTAAGAAGGACTTCCTGTCAGACCAGGCCATGCTGTATGCTGCAGGAGCACTGGTAAGAACAGATGCACTCACCAACTCCTCATCTTAGAATCTAGAGCCTACTGTGTTCAAAGTTCTCTTCTGAAGTTGGTTAAACTACAGGAGGTTTTGTCAGTTTTTGACAAAGCAGAGCATTAAAAAATGTGGCTGCATGTTTTTCAGAGATAAACATTTTCACTCCCACACCTGTAACACCAGAGCAGCATCTGCAGTTTTCTCATCGTTTCCAGTTACTTGCTAAAAAAAGTGCTCAGAGCAGACATTCCAGGAATTCTCTAAAGAAGTATCCTGTCAGCTCTGTGGGTGCAGTTTGGTAAGAATGCTGCAGGAGAAACTCCACAACTTGTGGTACATTTTCCAAACCCTGATGAGAATATTATGTTGTTGTTGAGGCATCTCATTTTCCCACGGCTGTCATCAAATTCCAGACAACGTTAACGCCCGGTTCTTCAGAAATGATCAGGAGTAAATGTTGGAAAAATCACTTGGAGTTTGATCTCCCCATGTCCCCTCGCCCTGGGGTTCAAGGCTTTTAGCTGCTTGGCTCCTCAGGTCTGGGACACCTCACCATCCAAACTCCTTCTTTTTAAATCACATCTGACAATTGAAACTGTTTAAACAGCTCATATTCACCTATGATTCCTCTGTACAGTCCCTTCATGTTCTCTGTACATACTTTACTATTACAAATTTTATTTAGTGTTCATGGCCTGGAGTTTTTTCCAGTGGGTTTATTTTATTTAGTGTAAATAATGGTCTGTTCAACATTCACGACTGATGCATATCTATGTTGGAAAACAACAGAAGGGTTTGTTTTTATTCTTTAATGTAATAAAAAGGGACAAAATGTACGAAGACAGTTCCTAAAATGAACCTCTGTTGTTGTCGTTGATTTTTTTTTTTCCTGTTTCCATCTCTGTGTCCTGTCTCATTTCTAGGAAATGGCTGCAGTTGCTGCATTTCTTCAGGCTGGAGCACCTCGACCGTATCCTGCTCATTACATGGACACGGCCATACAGACGTACAGAGATGTTTGCAAGTAAGACCCGGTTCAGTTGTCTTCTTTCTTTGTGTCTTTGTCCATGGTTTAAAACCGATTAGTGTCACACAGAATCTTGAAAGACCAAAAATGTTTTTACATTTTAATTGTGATTATTTAATTTATCCTGTGTTCTGTGTACTTGTCTAGGAACACAGTGCACTTACTTCTGCATACAAGAATGACATGAACATTATCATCAGAATTCAGAAATGATTTATAATTTATTGTTAAATTATGAAATAATGTCAAAGACCACAGGAAGTGGTAAAAACAGAATGAATTAAAAAATGCTTTTTTAAAGTTAGTGGATGTCTGTAGGATCAGGTGCTCAGTCCTGACGTCTTCTCTGCAGGAACATGGTACTGGCTGAGAGATGTGCTTTACTCAGTGCTGAGATCCTAAAGAGTCAGGGAAAATACTCTGAGGCTGCTGCTCTGCTCATTAAGATGACCAGTGAGGTGAGGACTGTTCTCACACTGACCGCCCAGACATTACTGACATGTCAGATGATTTCAACTGATAAAAGTTGCATTTTCCTTTTATGTTCTTCTAAAACATGACCCTTGTACTGACCTCTTGGTGACCTCCTGGTGACCTTGTTTCTTTAGGACTCTGACCTGCGCAGTGCTCTGCTGTTGGAACAGGCAGCTCACTGCTTTATTAACATGAAGAACCCGATGATCAGAAAGTTTGCCTTCCACATGATTCTGTCTGGACATCGCTTCAGTAAAGCAGGACAGGTGGGTTAGTTAGAATGAGGAACCTGACTGACAGAACATCTGGAGTTTGTTTCTCCTCTTCCTTACTTTCTGCTCCTCACCTGCCTCTCTCTCCCCCACTTTCTTCACTGTAGAAGAGACATGCACTACGCTGTTACTGCCAGGCCATGCAGGTGTACAAAGACCGAGGCTGGTCTTTGGCAGAGGATCATATTAACTTCACAATCGGCCGTCAGTCGTTCACACTCCGTCAGCCAGAGAATGCTGTTACAGCCTTTAGACAAATCCTGACCAATGACAGCAGACAGACAGCCACGCAGCAAGCAGCCTTTCTCAGAGAGTACCTCTTTGTTCATAAGGTAAAACACAGCCAACGTACACATGCGTATGAGGAGATGTTCCTCATGTCAGAGAAACTAAAAAATGTCTGAATTTGTGTTGACAGAGTGTCATGGGTGGGGATGGAGTGAGTCTTCCTCAGCTTCCTCTGCCCTGCATCCACAGCTCAGTTACCAGGATTTACTTTGGACATGAACGTTGCCTGGCAGAAGGTAGATGACGATGTGATCAGTCAGATCTGCTGATAGAGTGCTCTTTAGTCCAAACAGCTAAACATCAACTGTCAAATGTTTCCTGCAGGAGAGAAACAGGCTGCGACCCACGTGTCCTTGGATCAGGAGTACGACCAGGACCTGGCCGCCATGTGGTGCAACCTGGAAGAACAGCTAGTGGCTTCTGCCAACAGAGGGAGCATCCCTGTCAACTTCCAGCCTACACAATACTGCCTGAACAGCCAGACTGACAACCAGCGCCACCCTCTGGCTGTGGTGGAGGGTAAGAAGGCCTCACCTGACAGATACTAAAATCTTTTACATTCAGTGGTACTCAGAAAACCTTATACATATCTGAAACGATTTTCTAGAGTTCTGAATTAATTTTTAATTACATCAGTCATACATTTTACCTGTAAAATTAAAAAAATAACAATCTTATCATCAGTCATATATTTTACCTGTAAAATTAAAAAAATAACTTTACAGCATTATTGTCTCTGCAGAGCCCATCATTGTGGAGGTGACATTCAGGAACCCTTTGAAAGTTCCTCTTGCTCTGTCCAATCTCTCCCTTCTCTGGAAGTTTACTGCTGACAGTTCACCGAATGACAGGACGACTCCGCAGTCAACAGTAGAGCCAATCACAAATGAAGAAACACTGGCAACTGGGGTGACTGGGTTTATTTAATTTTTACTATTTTATTTTTTGTATTTAAAGAAAAATTAAAAATGAATTGCTCACATTCTCTGTTGTCTTGCAGGAGAATCAGAAGGACGACATTGTCACCACTGAGACGATACTTAATTTCCACCTCAGTCCTGAGGAAACAAAAACGGTGAGGAGAACATGTGGATATATAACATAAGCATGATATAAATGTTCTGACACATTTTAATTTAGAATACTACAATAAGGAAATGTGTTCATGTTTTCACAAAATCCAATATTTATCTTGATTTGTTGATTTCAGGCCCGTCTCAGGCTGCTGCCACACAGAACTGGACAGTTGAACATTGTTGGTGTGGTGTATAGCCTGTCTGAAAGTTCCGCTGGAGAGACTCCTCCCAGTACTGATGGTAATGTAAAGACACAGACACACATACAGACAATTTCTTGGACTCACCTGTAGTCACTCTCTTCACATACTGACCACCCTCAGATAAATTATGTTGCCACGGTTACAGCAGTCTGTCTGTATGTCTCCTCTTCTCCCTGGTTTTTATTTATTATTTATATGCATATAGAACAATAAACACGTTTTGTTTTTTCCCACCTTTCAACAGCTCAACAGACGATAGATTTGATGGTTTGTGGAAAACAGGACCTGAACATCCAGGGTCTACGGCTAAACCAGACCAAAGAGGACAAGATGTCAGTGAAACATGGACCTGATCGACGTCTGGATCCCATCATAACACCGTCCATGCCCTTGATGGAGGTACTGTGGAGCTGCTGTACATATTTACAGTTTCCCCATCTTCAACCTTAGAAAGATCAAAATATTGCACAAACACAATCAGCTAATGAGAACAGATTTTTATAAAAATAAATAAATAAATGCATAAATGCAAATGAATAAATACACAATATAAAATAAAAATAGTTACTCCCAAAGGCAATAATAAATCTTTGTGTCTGTAGGTCTTCTTCCTGCAGTTCCCCACTGCTCTGCTGTGCGGCGAGATCAGAAAAGCCTACGTTGAATTCTGCAACGTCAGCAGTGTTGCTCTGTGTGGCCTGCGGGTTGTGTCCACGCACCCTGATTTCTTCACCTTCGGCAGCCAGGCCACCACCCCTGTGACCCCACTTACTCCCACCTCAGCTGAGAACTGCTCGGCGTATAAAACCCTGGCCACGCCTCCACAGCTGGACTCTGTGGCTTCTGAGGTTTTGGTTTCTGCCGAGGTTTTCAGCCAGTTCTCCAGTGTGATGGACATTCCAATAGAGGGTGGTACATTGCTGCCTGGTGAGTCCACGCAACTGCCACTGTGGCTCAGAGGGCCGGATCAGGAGGGGGTCCATGAAATCAACTTCCTGTTCTATTATGAGAGCACGGAGAAAAGGAACAAGATCAGGTAGAACAATGTGGAACTGTAGAACCTTTGTTTCTTAAAGAACAGTATGAATGATGTTTCCTCACATTCTCTTTCCTTTTTGTGCAGCCACCGTGTGCTACGACACACAGTGTTTATTTGTGCCAGTCGCTCTCTGAGCGTTCAGGCGTCGGCCTCTCGCAGCAGTGTTCCTCCACATCACAGCACTAAAGAAAAGGGCAGCAGTGGAACGCTGGTCTTTATCGACGTGGAGAACATTAACACGGTGAGAGCAACAGAAAGTTGCCCAGAGTCTAAAAACCGTCTCTCAGTGCTGAAAGTAATTTTGAATTATTTTCCTCTTGTTTTCTCTCAGAGTGAATCTGGTGTTCGTGAGTTTCACATCATCCAGGTGTCCAGCAGCAGCCAACACTGGCGCCTCCAGGACTGTATCAACCCAGCTAGAGAAAAAGGTGAGTGAGACACAATGAGCTGGGCTTTCTCCTGTAGCAGGAACAATTCAGCATTTCTTTCTTATTTACAGTTACCAATAGGGATATTGTCTTTTTAAGCCTGCTAAGCAAAAGAAAAACAAAAAAACAAACTGTAGCTTCCCTCAAAACCTTATTTTGGTTCACCATGGGTTGTGAAATACTGCAATATTTCATTTCAATATTCATATTTGTATTGGTATTCTACAAAAAGGTATTTTTTGTTATTACCAATTAGCAGTCAAATATTCCTGGTGTTGGTTCATTTTATTTATTTTTTTCTTTCTTTTCTAGTGATTTCAAATGTAGATCCCTCTGTTCCAACGTTAGTAACCTGATGTGAAAATGGAACAGCATTGTGTGTTTAATATGATGAGAGTTTGACTACAGTTTAATTGCAAAATACCAAGAAGCCGCCTGCCTTCCAGGCTGATACAGTGTTCGTCTCTGTTTTGTCTTCACTTCCAGACTGTAAACTCGGCAGCAGAGAACGAGCCAAGCTCTGCTTTAGGGCGACACGATGCAAACCTCCACGAGGTATTAAAACACTGGCTGCGTCAAACACTCAACCTGTTTTCTTTCACATTGTTAAAAGTAAAATCTATTTTGCTGTGTTTGTAGCTACCTCGGACACTGTCAAGAAATACACTTTCGCAGACCTGAATTTGGGAAATGAACGGGTATTTGCAGCATGTAAAATAAAAAAGGTCATTGTGATTATAATTAGCATAGGTACCAGTTGTTCATTTTCTTTCTTGGCTTTGCCATCTTTCCCTCTTGCCACAGATCATCAGTTCATCCACACCTTGTGGAGATTTCTTCTTCCGCTGCCGTAGGACCCCAGCGTTGTCACGGACGTCATCCAGCACCAAGAGTCAGGGTACAGCCTCCTCTGAGAACAAAGCTGATGACATCACCAACATAGTCAAGAAGTGTAATGAGCTGGATCTCAATATCATTGTCATCTGGAAGGTACATTAAACATGTGTGTGTGACATGGGGTAACCTCGCACATTGATGTCAACAATTCTGAAGCATGTATCATTTATTTGTGCAGGCCTACGTTGTGGAGGACAACAAACAGCTGATCCTCGAGGGTCAGCTCCATGTGGCGCTGCAGAGTCTTGGCAAAGAGGCCACTTCTCTGGCTCCTAAAGAGGTCAGACATATCTCACACACACATACACACACAGGCATGCTTATGTTCAGCTGGGGTGTTTGAGGAAATCTTGAATGCGAGTCATCTGTGTTTCAGGAAGCTCAGGAAATGGTCCTGCTCAAGTTTAAGTCGGAGCTGCCGGTTCCAGTCCCTCCACCTTCAGCAGAACTGTCACAGCTCATTAAAACCAACCTGCACTACCCCGAAATCTACACACATCCATTTGGTCACAACAGGTCAGCAGCACATCGGCACACATGTTCAGTCATAATGACTTCTAAGGGTCTGTAGCTGTTAGCAAGAATCATCACAGCAGTGAGTCACTCTGTGGTAAAGTCAGTACATTAACCAGAGTGAGTAAAGGTGTCTCTGTGTCTCCAGTCTGTGTCTGGTTCCTGTGACTCTGTCCTTGTCAAACTGCTCCATGGCTCTAGTGGACGTTCTCATCGACTTGCAGCACAAAAGCAACAGGTTGGTTTCTCAATGTCACAGTGAAAAAGCTAAAGCAAACATGTTGCACTAGTGATTGATTTTTTTTTTTTTTAATGAAGTGAAAGACCTCAGCAGGTTTTTCTGTGAACGTCTTTGTCCTTTCTGGAAGCCGGTTCCCTTGTCTACTACTTTTTCTGAAAATTCTTCAATTTTTTACTCAGGATATTTTTGAGAGGATGGAGTCATGTCCACATCTACATATTGATACAAATGTATAACTTCAATTAATTGATTCATTTTTCTTTATTCCGTTACAGCCCAGAGTCAGAGGTCCACCACTCGTTCACATGGGTGGGTCAGACCCAGTACAAGCTGCAGTTAAAGCCTCAGGAGGTTCTGGCTCTGACTCTAAGAGCCTGTTTCTTGCAGGCAGGAGTTTACAACCTCAACACGCCAAGGATCTTGGCCAAACCTACAGAGCAGATGTCCCTAAGTGAAACGAGTCAGCAGACGGCCAGTCCTGCTCTCATCATCATTAATAAAGCCTGAGGAGATGATGGTGGGCGGGAGATAACAGGGACTCTGTGGACACCAGAATCCACCAGCTACTCTAAACTGGACCATCAGCTGGTCTGGCAGAGAAATGCAAATGTTTTAAATCATGAGTTCAATGTTGAAAACTTAATTTAAAAATGTGGAGACTGAAGAGCTACAGTGACAGACACTTTATTAACCTCAGATCCATTTTTTCTGTCAAGTTTCTGCATGTTAACTTATCTGCACAGGGTCCTATTGTCATCATCATTTTTCTATGATCCTGGCTGTTGACCATGCAGACCTACTTGTACTGTCTACAATTGGCTCCTTGTCTCTATTTTTCTGATGGCTTTTACGCCAACATGGTTTTGGTTCCCAGACAAAAAAACAAACGAAAATAATTAGATGTGAGCCTGAAATGTTTTTTCTGGGATCAGCAGGTAATACTTGTGGAAGAAGGATGTCGGCTGGATATAATGAGAAAATAAATGGTCAGTACAAAGAACAGTAAGCTGACAATGTGTTTTAAAGGTTAATTGATTATGGTTTTGGTCAGCATTACTGTGGTTCAACATTACTGGTACAAACAATAGTCTGGATCCTTCAGATCAACAATGTTCCCAACAAAAGCCATGTCAGTCCTTGTCTGTGCTGAAATGTTGGCTTTTGTTGTTAATTTGGACCAGACGTTTCAGTCCCATCTAAGACCTTCTCGGTGTCACTGTACTGGACAGTCATTAACCTGATGCTACAGATTTGTGTCAGGTTTCTGACTCCAGACTGAAGTGAGGGACTTGGAAACACCATCCAGATTATATCGGTATATTTTGATCCCTGGTAGAGCTTCAGACTACACTACAGACTAGAGTCATGTCCAACCAATCAGCATGACCCCATCCTGTCTCGAACCTCACAATAATGTCATTCAACTCTGTGTGCATAGACTTGACAGCTTTTCTGAAATGTATGTAATATATTTATATAACAAATTTGATGTATATAGTAAATAAAATGTAACTAATGATACTGTAATGATGTATTTGACAATGTGTTTATTACAGACCTGATTACAATGTTGCAGTAAGGAGTTCTAAAGGGAGTTTTCAAAGCTAAGATTCTTTTTGTTTTATTTGATAGAGGTTCTCAAATGGGCTCTTAGGGCTATTATTCATTCTTTTTAGTAGCACCTCGAGTGAGTGATCTTGTAATTCATAACTCATACAACACCAACCTTTGTTGGTGTTTGATGACCTCTGGCCTCCATTTCTTATGTATCATCTACGCTATAGCTATTTGTATTTTTGGTTTGTAAGAAAAATATTTTGTAGAATCGCTCGCATTTTTACATTATGGTCACACACACTGTTCCCTGAACAACGTCAGAGTGACGCTGTTTCGCAACTAATCACATTTACCGTTGCACCTGCTAAACGTTACGGTTGACGACACCTTGCCGCGGGAAACCCGAATGCTTTTACATGGTTTGCTTTAGCCGTAGACTATACGGCAATACCGAACTTAAAAGCAACAAACAACGCGAAGGCTATTGATATTATTAATTATTAATCAATGCAAGCGCAGGTTTAAGAGATGGAGACACGCTACCACAGCACCAAAAAGTTACTCCTAACAGACTTCGTTTCTTCTGAACAGGTAACTTATAAGTTTTTATTATTATTTTTTAATATTGGTAATTTCAGACTGAAGTGGTCAGCAACGTAGCAACTTCTCCCTGCTAAGGGCACAGACACCGTTAATGGGCGGGCGGCCACTTAGAGAACCTTAGCCTACTCTTGCTAGCTACTAGCGTGCTACTAATTCGATTATTTTAACATTTAGGCAGGATCAAGTTAAAAATAATCGTTACATTACAAATTAATCACCTAACTTTCAAGATGGCAACTGTGGAATCCAAAAACATTAAACGTGTACTGAAGATATCTCTCTCTCTCTCTCTCTCTCTCTATATATATATATAGGAAACAGGAAAACTATAGAATATAAAATATACTAAAGTGTGATTTGGCTCGTATAAATCTTGGACATGACAACAATCAGTTATATATGCTACTATTAAGAAAAATATTTACATGTATTACTTGAAAATTTATTACACACCATATTTAAACATTATTTTAAAAAGTGATAGGGAATAGTAGAAAAGTTAATGTTAATCAATCACATGTGATTCCTTGTGTTATTTCATTTTCACACAGACACACGCACACAAATGGCCAATTCAATCTTCTAATCCAGCGACAGTCTGGTACTGCAGTGAGTTCCGGTACAGACAGTAATGTTGAGTCATGAAGAGGATGTCAAACACCACGGAAAACAGACCCAGACCAAACTTTGTGGGATCACCAAAGATCAAGTCCCACTGATCTGAGGAAAAATACACACACAAAAATTGAAGTATTTTGTCAGTTTATGTAGTGATTGAAGAACATAATTAGTTACCGTTGTTGTAGGACTGTAGGGTCATCTGTAGAATACTGAGGACTCCTCCGGTAAAGTCCAACAACACATTACCAATACTCCAGCCCTCCGTGCTCTGACGTCTGTAGTTCATGTACGCCTGTAACAAACCATGTCTGTTAATAAAGATTATAACACTTATGATAAAGAAGTTCAGACTCTGCATATTAAAAGCAATTCATTCAATGCTTAATACAGTTAGATGTATTCTGTGCCAACTGGTACATGTCAAGCTTACCTGTGGCACATATTTGATCAGAGTGACAGCTAGTTTAATGTAGGAGAAGTAGTACAGATAGTCCAACCAACTGATCTTCTTGGCCACAGCGACAAACAGACTGACCAGAGCAAATGTCCAGGCAATCAAGAGCAAAATCTTGGCTGTCCACGACACCTTCTGACCTCCCCTCTGTAAAAGACAAGAGGTCAAACCTACTGTCAGCCAATGACACATCTGTTAAAGTGAAATGTTATCAGGTGCACCCATTGAACTGCTTACTGACAAAAATACTCAAAACAGGTCAGGAAGTCTGCAACATTTACATATGCAGACAGCAATAATGAGCCACTGAAGTTTAGACAAAAAACAAAAAAAGTTAATTGTCAACACTTCCACAACAATGGACACGTACCACTGGTGGTACTTGGGCTCCCTCTAGTGGCACAGCCATTATTGTGTTAATGGCTGTAAACTTAACACCCATTACGTGAAGAGCTCCAATATATTGTGTTAATGGCTGTAAACTTAACAGTTCAAGAACAGAGCAGCTGAGTGTTTAGAAATAAATAGAGTAGAAATGTGTCTTATGGTGTTTGTTGCCGATATGTGAGTGTGAACAGCTCACAAACATCCATCATGCCCAGTATTAACAGTGAAAAGCTAGGAAAGGAAAGTGAACTACTTGTCATTGTGTCACAGCTCACCACTGCTTTTAACCCATCACCAAAGTGAATAGTGGGCAGCTTTAAGCACCCAGGGAGCAGTGTGTGGGGACGGTTGCATGCTCAGAGCACCTCAGTGGTAACTTGGCAGCTGGTGGACTCGAACTAAGCCACCAATGCCCCAGCTGCTTGTTATGATGTAATGTAACATTCCTGGCCATCACTGTAGTCCTGATGCACCTCATACACAGCAGCCTGGCAGATGTAGATCAAACACAGCACCACAGCGTGCAGGCTGAAGAAGACGTCATTAGCAGTGACAGGGTTGATCCCATCTGGGTTTTTGATTAGAAACTGCTCCTGCAGAGGGCAGCAACAGACACGTGAAAATTACATAGTGTCACA